CCCCCAACATTCCACATACGTTCAGCCCTAGCTAGCCTACAGCCAGCCATGCGGCACGTGCCGTCCATGGCGATCTGCCCACTGCCAACCATGATTGTATTGGACGGAAGAATACTTCCGCCATGCGCCCCAGTGGCGATTCTAGAAGAAGCTGAAGGTGTTGTGCATGAAGGATATCGTAGATCGGGTGCTGATCGACGAGCTGCCTGGGCATGAATGCGGGTTCCGACTTGCTTTTTTAAGGCAGCATACCATGAGTTTGGTATAGCTCCGCAAAAGTAAGTCTTTCGCTCTTGAGACGAGGATGAGCGTTTCGATGTTATCGATGTTAGCGGTTTTCTCGATTTTTAGTATGTCATCCGACTACAAGCTGCGGTGCGAGATGCTGTGTGGTGTGACTGTAACGTGGATAGACAGCTGCACACTTATCCACACACAGGGTTCCTCGCACCTAGCTACCCATGCAAGACTGTACCAGATCCCGAGCGAGTCTATTCGTACTACGCCCATTACTGTATGTAGCTTTCCATGCTTGTGTAAGGATACGAGGCTCGGGTAGCACGGCGCAATCGGACATGGATTCGACTGTATGCGCAGTCAATCGAACCTAGAAGGGACGTGAGTTAATCAGATAGCGCCCTTTGCGGGGTTGAATACGAATGTCGTACAGCAAAACTGTACCATCTTTCTTTTATCTTGATGAATAGGCTGGTGATAACCTAGGATCTGGGTTGCGGTTCGGGTAGGGCGTGCAGATGGGGTGAAGCAGGCATATACGTTGCACGATGTGCACTCGAGTAAGGCAGGATCTGCGCAAGAAAGGCCGTTTGAGATGGTCTGGATGCGAGCCTTGAACGGAGATTTCGTAGACCGGAACGTCTCCGGATCGTCGAGACACCATTCCAATCACATCTGGGGCGGGAAAATGCGACTGGTCGAGCGGAACGGTGCGAAGCGCAATGCGACGATTCGCCTTGTACATCCCTCTCCATTTCTTATCTGGTAAAACAATTTATGGTGTAGAGTCTACCGCCGTAAATCTTGCCCACAACAAGACCAAGATTTCTCGGGTTTTGTCAGTCTCGCTAAAGATGTCGAGACTGCCAGTGAGAAGTATGGTAGGCTCGGTGATTGGAACTATCTCGCTTTCCTTCTTTGCTCTGCGTGTAAGCCTTGCTCTTCTTGATCGGCACCATGGGAAACTGGGAAGATCTTCATCTCGGCTTCCAGAGGCGGCTGCCCTCTTCCTCTCTTTGCTCAGGATTGGCTCTGCTTGACCTCGTCCAGCCTTTCTTGATCTGGTCCTTAGTCGAAGAAGCTGGAGCGCTGAGACTATCATTCAGGTTGGCGGGGTTGCGTTGTTTCATATTTGGTGAGGCAGATTTCCGTCAGAGGTAGGAGAGATACGAACCTGGAGCTGTGCTGTATGTGAGCGTTGGCTTCTACCAACATTCAATGTATGCCTGTGAATTGCCACCGCTGCTACGAACTGCCAAGACTGTGAGTTATCTCGTCCTGGCAAGAATCCGTTTCGCTGTCATCGCATCGTCGTCGATAGGCGAAAGCAAGTGGCCCAAGTCAATACGGTCGCCTTGCTGGCGAGTCGAATCGTGAACGACAGGTGGCGCCCGTTGGATTTGTCGCGCAATGTTCCTCAAACTTTGTTATGTGATTAAGTGATAGAGGCGCTTTCACCCAAATGTGTTGTTGGAGGTTGGTGGTGGCCGGGGGGTTTGCTTAGTGTTGTGATCGAACCGAGGAAACATCAACACGTCGCGACTACCCAGCGCCACGAGGAGCAATACACGATGCACTCAACCAGCAACTTCAGCTCCGGACGCCATGAACGGGGCCGAAACACGGATATACGGTGAATCGCATACGACGGGCCAGCTCCCCACGCCTTCCTCGACGCCTGAACCGGACGATGTGGCACCTCCGAGTGCCCGCCGCGCCCATGAAGCCAAAAGTGAGGAACCACTACAGAACATGACGAATGGCGCCAAAGCCGAGCCAAACAGCGCAATCAGCTCCAGTGCGCCAAGCAGGAGGCCCAGTGTGCACGAAGAAGCTGTCCTCTCGGACACCAGCGAGAAGATACGGCCTATCAAGCGGCCTGGAGATGGGCGGCGGAGGAGCAGCGTGTCGGAGCACGAGAAGATACTCAAACTCAGTCCCCGCCAGATTCAGGAACTCACGAGCGAACCTGCGAGCATTCCCATCCGAGCAGCCACGCCGATTCTCGAAGACGACCTGGAAGACGCCACACCGCTGGAAGTTGGGGATGGGCAGGGCAACAACAAGCTCTTGGGTGTCGTGCTGGAGCGACCGGTAGAGCTAAATGGCGAGGCTAGGAGAGAGAAGGGCTCCAGAGGACGGGATGGTCCACGAGAGAAGGAAGTCGTTCTGATCAAGACACCTGCAACCGAATTGCGCAACGGCCGCCCGGTGCTTTCCTCACGATCCGTTACCACGCCCTCGCTCGTACGAAGAACCACGTCAAGGTCGCGATCCCGAACACATAACCAGACACAAGAGACAGAGGACCGGCGGCATGGCAGGCATATTCCTCCGCCATTGAGTCTGGACCATAGAGATGGCGCGTCCAAGGGCCAAGATCGACATAAGGAGACACGTGAGATACGCGAGCAGGTTTCTCCGACACCAATTGCTCTTCCGCTACCCCCAATGTCGATGCCCACATTTCTCTCATTGGAACTCTCCGCGAGCCGCCCCTCTCCACTGTACATATATCGCCCAGCGACGACAGACTTTCCTTACGAATCATCTGAGATTAAGTACGAGCGGTTGCTCAACTTCCTGAGGATACCGCTGAAGATCGAGGGCATACTGGGCTTTGGAGCACTTGCTTGTCTGGATGCATGGATGCACGTCTTGACAATTCTGCCCCTCCGCTTCTTGCTCGCCATTGCAATTTTGGTCAAATGGTGGGGCTCGGTCATCGTGAAAGAGTTTCGCGATCTTTGGGCTTTTGTCTACGATGGTCTTCCTCGCCTCTGGCAGCGCAGGAAGCAGACTGATGGCCCTACGCCCTTACCAACTCCTGCCGAGGAGGTGCCTCCGTCCATGTCGCGGAAGCCATCTTCCTCAACTGTTCCCTCAGCGAGCACCACAGCTAGACAGAATCCTCAGACGTCTACGACATTCAAGTTCCCAGACATGAATGAGCTCAGAGCGCGCCGGCCTCGAAACTCCCGATTCCGTCACCGCCGTACCAAGTCAACGCCTTCTACGCTACAACCAAGCCACAAAGCAGACATACTGAAAGGTCTACTGGTCATTGCCAGCTGCTTCGTTCTGATGCGTTTCGATGCCAGTCGCATGTACCATGGCATTCGTGGACAGTCAGCCATCAAGCTCTACGTAATATACAACGTCCTCGAGGTCTGTGATCGCCTGCTCTCAGCCGTCGGTCAAGATGTGCTGGAATGCCTCTTTTCCCGCGAGACACTAGATCGCAATCCCGACGGCAGGAGCAAGGTCCTCCGTCCATTTGGGATGTTTGCACTCGCATTGGTATACACTGTCGCCCATGCTACAGCGCTATTTTACCAAGTAATTACGCTGAACGTTGCCGTCAACTCCTATTCCAACGCACTACTGACGCTCTTGATGTCCAACCAATTCGTCGAGATCAAGGGCACGGTGTTCAAGAAGTTTGAAAAGGAGAACCTTTTCCAGATCACATGCGCAGACATTGTAGAGCGCTTCCAGCTCTGGCTCATGCTTCTCATCATCGCTATGCGTAATGTTGTCGAGGTTGGTGGCTTGAGCATTCAAAGCAGCGACACATCTTGGACAGCCATGTTTACTGGATCTGCTAATGTGTCTTCTGCGACCGCGTTCAAGGCTACGAGTATTATACCTATGAGTTTTACCATCTTTCCGAAGTACATCGCGCAGGTACTCAATCCATTTCTGCTGGTATTGGGCAGCGAGATGTTTGTCGACTGGCTGAAGCATGCGTACATCACCAAGTTCAATCAGTACAAGCCAGAGGTGTATAGCAAGTTCTTCGACGTTCTGGCAAAGGACTACTATTCTAATGTAAGCCATCTCTATCTTCTACAGCATGCTCACTAACACCTCACAGGCCTTTGCTGATGCGGACTTGACACGACGTCTTGGTTTGCCAGTCATACCGCTATCCTGTCTCTTCATCCGTGCTGCCATCCAGACCTACCACATGTTTATCGCCATGCACATGCCGCCTCCCCTGCATACAACATCCACATCCTTGTCTTCGGACCCGACATCCTCCCCCACAACGACCGCAGCACTAGCCCACATCGACCACGTCTTCCGCCGCGCTCTAGGCCGCTCTTCCTTCGGCGCCGGCATCCCCTCCCAAGCCTGGTACAACCCCCTCTCTTACACCCTCGACGACCTCATCGCCGGCTCCACCATGCTAATCGTCTTTCTTGTTGGCTACCTCATCTTCCTCGCTTTCAAACTCATCCTCGGCATGCTCCTCCTATCCGTGAGCCGCAAACGGTACTACGGTATGCAGGAACGGGAGAAGATGAACGTCGAAACGGGGGGTAAGAGGATCGGGGGCTGGGGCGTTGTGGATGTCGATGAGGAGAAGAGGAAGGTGATATATGATGATGATCCTGAGACGCTGAAGAGGTTGAGGGAGAGGGATGAGAAAGGTAGGAAGAAGGAGCAGGAGGAAAGGGAGAGGGGGACCAGCTTTGGGCATGTTAGTCGGTATGCCATGGTTGCTAAGAGGATTTGGTGATTTTAGGTTGTTATAGGTTCCAAATCATCTTGGCTCATTGTAATGTTATTCAAGATCATGTCCATTCCTCCACCGAGTGACTGCTCTATTGGAGAGCACTTCGCAACGATACCTTCATTTAGGTGAGGGGCTGCATACCAGCGGGAAACCCTGCCGAGGTTATATTGATGTTGCAGCACGCTAGCGGCAGCGGCACGACTCTCGATCCGCAACGGCCGCAACGGCCGCAACATCCCCAACAACATATCTACACTGATCAGAAACCTTTTCATTGGAATTCCGCCATCTCAAAATCACCACACTAAATCAGCGTTACCTCCCACAAACACCATCTTGACACTTTCGCCTCATCAACACACCTCGATTCGTTGCATCCAACTACACCACCCAAAGATGGCCGGCCAACCCATTCCCCCACAAAAGCCCTTCATGGAGCAACTAGCCCTACGTCAAACCGGCGAAAACGAATTCGAAATGATCAACCTGCCACAGAAAATGGGTAATCCACTGGACATTGCATACGGCGGCTACACCATCGCCGTAGCATGCAAAGCAGCCTGTCTCACCGTACCAGACGGCTACAATCTCTACTCCCTACAAGGAAACTACCTTGGCCCAGCATACACCGACCGACCCCTCCGCGCCAGCGTACGAGTAATACGCCAAACCCGAACGTTCGCAACGCGCCAAGTCGAAGTAAGCCAAACGGCCTCTACCAAAGAAGGACAGAAAGAAGAGAGCAGAATATGCCTCCTCGCAACCGCCGACTTCATAATCAGCTCGCCCACGTCGCTACTATCCTACTCCCCCACCCCCATGCATAACCACCCCAACTGGCGTGACTGTCCCACGCCCGCCTCGGCATTTTCCGCGCTGGTTGCGGAAGGCAAAGTATCGAAAAAACTGCTGCAACACCATGAAAAGGGTTTCCACCTCCTCTCCCACCTTTACGACCAACGCCTCGTCCCAGACAGCATCTTCACCCAAAACCTGTACGGCATCGCCGCCTCAGCACCCCACACACAAGACAGCCTCCCCCCTTCCACACGCACAACCGCAGACTGGATCCGCAACAAAGACGCGCTCCCCACACCCACAGACAACATGACATCCCTAACCTTCCTCATGGATCTGGGCATTGCCTTCTTGCCGTTGTCGTTTAATCATTTGTGGTTTGGGGATGCGAGTGCGGTGTCTAGTCTTGATTTTTCGCTGAGGATCTTTGTGGATATGAAGGATTTGAAACTGGATGAGGGGTGGTTGCTCAGGGAGTTGAAGAGTCAGGTTGCGGGAGAGGGGAGAAGTTTTGGGGAAGGCTGGGTTTGGGATGAGGGGGGGAGGTGTGTGGCTACTATGAGTCAGCAGTGTATTCTGAGGCCGCTGGCGAAGAAGAAGGGGGAGGGGCGGGGGAAGTTGTGAGGTTGCTATTGGGAAATGGGTTGGAGAAGAGAGTGTAAGGGCTATGTAGCAGATGAAGTCTAGACGTGCACGTGTGCAAAGCAGAAGATGTGGATTCTGTAACTAAGGCGCGATGAAGATGGGGTAGAGGACGATTTATATAGATTTTAATTATATTAGTTGTATGCTAAAGCGCTAAAAGACATTGTGATTGTAAAACTAGGTTGAAATTTTCTGTATGGATCTATGCGTGGATACACTATGGATGTTTAGGCTGCAAATCCTACTATAACTTCCACTCTCATGCGGTACAGGAGAACGTAGATAGCAAGAAAGGCTTGCTCAGACGTGCCGTCGGATGTCTCGATAAGCTCATCAGCACTACCCCAGGCCGTCCCGCAACGTTCAAGATATATTTGGGTAGAATCGGACCGACGGATCTATGCGGAGGGAAGACGCAATAGTAAGCCGGAACCGATCGTGTCCTCGACTTTGAATGCTACGACACAGATGGATTTCTCACGTCTCGGTAGTCTTGGACAAATCCGGCGGGTTGATCCTGCTTTCGTTGCCTGTCTTGATGCACTCAGCGATTCGGGTAAGAACATCGCCATGTCGATTCTTCGGTAGCAGGCTCGACGGGCTGCACAGCATACGACCGGTAGGAATGGACGAACGTCTGAGTAAGGGTGCTACCGTTATATAGGCTCCAGTGTCGCACTCTTGGCCATCTTATTGTATTCGCGATAAGTTGGGCAACGGCTGGCCGCACTGATTATGTTGAATCGCTGCCTGACGCCCTGTTGCAAGAAAATCGTCAGATGGTTGAGTGGGACGGTGCGTCTGCAGATAAGAGGCCAAGTACTGACTGAACCTATCGCAAGTCCAGCAACTCGATCGATGGCTTGATGGCTGCCTAGATGACTGTGAGTGGTATAATATTACCCGGGGCGTAACATGCCAACGCTGACCGGCACAAAGCAGTCGTAAGATGCACACCGTTTAAACGGCATACAGCGAGCTGGACAAAGCGCGCACAGTCAGCAATACATACCAACAACGTACCGCGCGCGCATTTGAGGTATATGGCGACAGATCAGCCCCCGGCGATCGGAAAGGCCAAGATCCGCCATCCTCGCCGTATCCCGCGGACCAACAAGCTCACAGACCCTCTCGAGCGGCACGACGATAAGCAGCGGCAGTCAGCAGTGGAGATTCCAGAATCAGTATCGAGAATCAACGGGACCCGGAACCCTTTTGAACCATCACCGTGCCGCGCACATGGCAGCTGTCAAGGTAGGGCTGAACATCATCCGTGGGACCGGAAGGCGCTACATCCGCCGCCGAAGCCGCGCTAGAAAGGTCGTGCAATCGCGCAAGCCACCACAACACCACGGCAGGTCGAGCCGGATGCAGCAACCAACCCCGAGCAGATGCCACGCAACCACTCCGGGGGCTGGATCCACTCTGGCTTCACCCTGAATCTCGCGATTTGCGATTTTCGTCCGCTGTGCTTGTGCGAGGGAGGGTTCCGGGGCTCTTTCGTTTGGGAGGGGCGTACCGGGGTGCGTTTGATTGGCGCGGTATGCAAGTATGCGCAGGGGAAACGGAGATGCACGACGTCAAGATAAGGTACATCGTTGATGTGGTTGTTTCTGTTGGTTGCCTGCAGTGTTGCGATGGCGTATGCAGCCTCCGATTACCTGAGACAGTCAACTGTAAGACATTGTTTTTCTCTAGGGGTTTGGCGGGATTCGCTTTCTCTTTCGCTTATTGCAGAGGGCAAATGGGCTGCATGTGAGGCTTGGCCAAGGCTTAGGGGCAGCCGCGGGCAGTGGTCGGACGAACTAGCTCGGATATGGTGCTGTATACAGCGTACAGTATACAGTAGGCGATGCAGGTTCCACTGCTGTGGTTACCAAAGAGCATTCAGAGCCGCATGGCCGAACGGCGATCGTCGTCGACGGACGTAGCTTTGTTCGGACCGTTCTTCGCGAAACGACAGTGGTGGACGTAGAATGAGTCGAAATCGCGTGGCCGTAGTGTGCGGGCGGTGATTGGCTGGTGGACCTTCTGGATATCGTATGCACCGTATCCGAGATGTGGTACTAGCACCTTCTCGGTGCAAGCGAGCACCAGCGCGCCGGGCAGGCAGCCCATCCGTCTCCGGTTCGCAAGCCAAGCCGTCAGTCCGCCGCCCGCTGGACCAAATCCTTTACTGGGGCGGCGGCCTGGGTCCTCATTAGCAGTAGCTGCTCCTACCTTTATTATCATCTACCCCATCCCCCTGGCCTTTGTTGTCCCTGCCATACAAACTCTACTACCTTTTTTAATACTTGTCCCTCTTTGCATTTCTCCTTCGCCTGACTAATCTCTGCCCCCAAGCGGCGATCTATCGCCCACCATGAGTCTAGTCGGCAATTTCACAACCAACATGGACCGCGAGGCTGTATCCGGTGGCGTTCCACCACCAGAGATGGCGGGCAGACAACCCTCTCACTACAACGACAACGAGCAAGCAGAATCAGATGCATCGACAATAGCAGCTGTCGAGGGCTCGCCAAGGAGTAACAACAACCACACCGACCACAAGGATGGATCTTACAACACACATGACGCCGACGAAATCGCCGAGGCTGCTCGGAGAGAAGAGGCGGTTCACCAATTGGCCCGCAGACTTACCTCGCAGAGTCAACAATCTTCAGCAAACCAAAACCCCTTCAACGCGGCACCCAATTCCGCTCTGGATCCCAACGGCGAGCACTTCAACGCACGAGCATGGACCAAGGCTATGCTAAACCTACAGCTAAACGACGAGAATGCACCCCCTACACGAACTGCTGGTGTATCTTTCCGCGATCTCAACGTCCATGGTTTCGGAACTGATACCGATTACCAGAAGACTGTTGGTAACGTGTGGTTAGATGGACCTGCGCTTGTCAAGAAAATCATGGGCGACAAGGGCCGCAAGATCGACATTCTGCAGCACTGTGATGGCCTAGTCGAGGCTGGCGAGATGTTGGTCGTTCTTGGACCTCCTGGATCTGGTTGCTCGACTTTCCTCAAGACTATTACTGGAGAGACGCACGGTTTTGTCGTCGACTCAAGCTCGCACATCAACTACCAGGGTGTCAGCCCGGAGCTCATGAACAAGAACTACCGCGGTGAAGCCATCTACACTGCCGAAGTCGATGTTCATTTCCCCATGATGACCGTTGGAGAGACTCTTTACTTTGCTGCTCAAGCACGTCGGCCAAGGAACATCCCCGGTGGCGTCAGTGTACAGCAGTACGCCGAGCACCAGCGCGATGTCATCATGGCTTTGTACGGAATTTCCCACACTGTCAACACTCGCGTTGGTAACGACTTCCTTCGCGGTGTCTCTGGTGGAGAGCGAAAGCGTGTTACCATTGCCGAAGCCTCCCTCAGCAGAGCGCCACTGCAAGCGTGGGACAATTCCACCCGTGGTCTTGATTCCGCCAACGCCATCGAGTTCTGTAAGACCCTCCGCATGGAGACTGAGATCAACGGCACCACTGCCTGTGTTGCCATCTACCAGGCACCCCAGGCTGCCTACGACCTCTTCGACAAAGTACTTGTGCTCTACGAAGGTCGCCAAATCTTTTTCGGAAAGACCACCGACGCGAAGGCCTTCTTCGTCAACATGGGCTTCCTCTGCCCTGACCGTCAGACCGATGCCGATTTCTTGACTTCCATGACCAGTCCTTTGGAGCGTATTGTTCGTGAGGGATTCGAGAACCGTGTCCCACGCACTCCGGATGAGTTCGCGCAGCGTTGGGCCGAGTCCGCAGAGCGAGCAGCTCTCCTACAAGAGATCGAAGCTTACGAGCAAAAGTACCCCATTGGTGGCGAGGCCGGCCAGCGCTTCAAAGAGTCGCGCCAGCTCCAGAAGGCTAAGGGTCAACGCGAGAAGTCTCCTTACACTCTCTCGTACATGCAGCAGGTGAAGCTTTGCTTGTGGCGAGGCTTCGTTCGCTTGAAGGCTGACCCCAGTATCACCATCACGCAACTCATCGCCAATTCCATCATGGGTCTTGTCATCTCGTCCGTCTTCTTCAACCTCCAGCCTACTACTTCGAGTTTCTACTCTCGATCCGCCCTTCTCTTCTTCGCCATCCTGATGAACGCTTTCGGTTCCGCCCTCGAGATCCTGACGCTTTACGCTCAACGTCCCATTGTCGAAAAGCACTCTCGTTACGCCCTGTACCACCCGTCCGCTGAAGCCTTTGCCAGTATGTTGACCGACATGCCATACAAGATTGTCAATTCCATCACCTTCAACTTGGTCCTGTATTTCATGACGAACCTCCGACGAGAGCCCGGCAACTTCTTCTTCTTCGTCCTCATCTCCTTCACATTGACGCTCGTCATGTCCATGTTCTTCCGTTCTATCGCCTCTCTGTCCCGCTCTCTTGTTCAGGCTCTCGCACCCGCCGCCATCCTCATCCTGGGTCTCGTCATGTACACTGGTTTCGCTATCCCTCCCAGCTACATGCTGGGCTGGTCCAAGTGGATCCGCTACATCAACCCTGTCAGTTACGGTTTCGAGGCGCTCATGGTCAACGAATTCCACAACAGGCAATTCGAGTGCAATGAGTTCATTCCTTTCGGCACCGGCTACGAAAACGTTTCTGGTACTCAACAAGCTTGCAGGACCATCGGCTCTGTTCCCGGTCAGCCCTTTGTCAGTGGTGATGCTTACATCAACTCGGCCTTCAACTACTACGCAAAGAACAAGTGGCGCAACTTCGGAATCATGTGGGTCTTCATGTTCGGTCTCATGGGTGTCTACCTCGCTGGTACTGAATTCATCACCGCCAAGAAGTCCAAGGGTGAAGTCCTTGTCTTCCAGCGTAGCCACAAACTCCCTGCGCCCAAGAGCAAGTCCGAAGAGGATTTGGAAGCAGCTGCCCCTGCACGCAACGTCTCTGTTCAGAACAATGGCTCTGACGACATCGCCATCATCGAACGCCAAACCGCCATCTTCCAGTGGGAGGACGTCTGCTACGATATCACTATCAAGAAGGAGCCTCGTCGTATCCTCGACCACGTTGATGGATGGGTCAAGCCGGGTACCTTGACCGCGCTCATGGGTGTCTCTGGTGCTGGTAAAACGACTCTTCTAGATTGCTTAGCTACACGTACCACTATGGGTGTCATTACCGGTCAGATGCTGGTCGATGGCAAGCCTCGTGACGACTCTTTCCAGCGCAAGACAGGTATGTCTCCCTACTATCGCTAACATTCGGAACACACACTAACTTCGCATTCAGGCTACGCTCAGCAGCAAGATCTCCATCTCTCCACCTCGACCGTCCGTGAAGCGCTCACCTTCTCCGCCGTCCTCCGTCAACCCGCACACATCTCTCGTCAAGAGAAGGTCGAATACGTCGAGGAGGTTATCAAGCTTCTGGAGATGACTGAATACGCTGATGCCATCGTCGGTGTCCCCGGTGAAGGTCTCAACGTTGAGCAGCGCAAGCGTCTTACCATCGGTGTGGAACTGGCTGCTAAGCCTGCTCTTCTTCTCTTCTTGGACGAGCCCACCTCTGGACTGGACTCGCAAACCTCTTGGGCCATTCTCGATCTCTTGGACAAGTTGAAGAAGAACGGTCAGGCTATTCTTTGCACTATCCACCAGCCTAGTGCCATGTTGTTCCAACGTTTCGATCGTCTTCTCTTCTTGGCCCGTGGTGGACGCACTGTCTACTATGGAGATGTCGGCGAAAACTCGCACGTCCTCGTCGACTACTTCGTTCGCAACGGCGGTCCTCCTTGCCCGCCTGCCGCCAACCCCGCTGAATGGATGTTGGAAGTCATTGGTGCCGCTCCCGGTTCACACACAGACATCGACTGGCACCAGACCTGGCGCAACTCCCCCGAGTACCGTGAGGTCAAGCGCCATCTCGCTGAGCTCAAGTCCGAACGTGGCCAAGCCGAAGCTCTTCAACGCACCATGTCTGCTCAAAAGCGAGAGGACAAGGCTGCGTACCGCGAGTTCGCCGCACCTTTCATGGTTCAACTTCGTGAGACCATGTCCCGTGTCTGGACGCAGTACTGGCGCACACCCTCGTACATCTACTCCAAGACCTTCCTCTGCACGCTCTCGGCCCTCTTCATCGGTTTCTCTCTCTTCCAGATGCCCAACACGCAGACTGGTCTCCAGAACCAAATGTTCGGTATCTTCATGTTGCTGACGATCTTCGGTCAATTGGTCCAACAGATCATGCCTCACTTCGTCACTCAGCGTGCTCTGTATGAGGTCCGCGAACGACCCAGTAAGACCTACTCCTGGAAAGCATTCATGATCTCCAACATCGCCGTCGAACTACCCTGGAACTCGCTCATGGCCGTCATCATCTACTTCTGCTGGTACTACCCCATTGGCCTGTACAACAACGCCGCGCAAACCGACTCCGTCACCTACCGCGGTTTCCAGTTCTTCCTCTTTGTCTGGATGTTCCTGATCTTCACGTCGACATTCACCCACATGGTCATCGCTGGTATTGACTCGGCTGAGACTGGTGGCAACATTGCCAACTTGATGTTCTCGCTCTGCTTGATCTTCTGTGGTGTCCTTGCCCAGCCTTCCACCTTCCCCCGCTTCTGGATCTTCATGTACCGCGTCTCGCCCTTTACGTACATGGTGTCTGGTTTGTTGTCTACCGGCCTCGCCAACGCCAATGTGCAGTGCGCGGAGAACGAATTGATCCACTTCGACCCTCGCGATGGCGAATCCTGCGGCCAATACATTGAGACATGGAAATCATCTGCCGGTGGTAAGATGCAAAACCCCGATGCCATGATCGACTGCAACTTCTGCGCTATCGAGGACACCAATGTTTTCCTGCGCAGCATCTCTTCCGACTACGGCACCGCTTGGCGCAACTTTGGGTAAGTCACTTTGATTCACATCTTACATTTTGAACCTGTTGCTAACTCTACTTCACAGTATCCTCTGGGTCTACGTCATCTTCAACATCGTCGGCGCCCTTGCCTTCTACTACCTCCTCCGCATGCCCAAGCCCAAGAAGGAGAAGAAAGACAAGAAGGAAGTCGGTGCCCATGCAGGCGCCGTCAAGGAAGAACATCTCGACCAGCCCTCGCACGTCGGCAGCAGCCTCAACTCCAACACCGAGCAACACACGGAGAAGAACACCGAAACCGCGCGGTACGCTTCCATAACCGGAACAACCACGCCACCGCCGGCACACGAGATCTCAGAAAAAGCATAATTGTCCTTCATGACCCTGCTTTGCTGTTTTTCGTTCTCTCGTTTTGATGGGCGTTCTCGCTGTATGACGACAATTAGTTGTGTACATGTTTTGTCCGATGTCGTTTATACATGATTTTTCAAGACTTAGATCTACTGTTTCTCATACGCTCAAGCGCTGAGCACATACTTATCAAGCATGTTTTGTTTTCTTACATGTATGTACATACAACCTTACCTAATCCAACAATGGTCCGCTTGCCAGCTTGCGTACCATTACGTTGACATGACTGGAATGATGGACTTGATGAACTTTACTTGAAGTGTTTGTGACTGTAAGAATGTTCTGAACTGCCATGTGCATCACATTATGAAGACAAATAGCGGAATCCATTTAAGCTTCTCTGCAAATAGATACCATCCATCTACGCAACAGTATCACTCTCACTATGTGCCAACAACCCCGCCCTCTCCCCTCTCTCACTCCCCACGCTCCTCCAGACCGGCTCCTCAGCCCTCCCCATCTCAATCCGCCGCGCAGCTACAAACCCCCAATGCCATGCCAACCCGCTCACGAACCCAACCGCATCATTCTTAAACGTCAGCAGCGCAGCCACCGTAACAAGCATAACCATCCACCTCTCCTTCCTCTCCCGTTCATCCAGCTCCTTCACCCTCTTCCCATCCCACGTCATATCCCTCTCCAACACCCTCAAATCCCTCGCATCGGTATTGATACTCTCTCCCACTTTCGCTAGCTCCACGCCCGCAGCCAGAACCAGCACACCCAAGAGTGCCTTGGGTATATCATGTAATGTGCTGATAATCGCATCTGCTTTCCAAAACGCAATAAGCCCAAGCATGAACTTGACACATCCTAGGAAGATTATACTACTCCCGCTCCTAGCACCGAATCGGAACTGGCCGGCCAGTCCACCGGAACCGTGGCACGCGGGCATGGCGCCGAACCAGCAGCCGAGCAGATTGATAGCCGCGACTGAGATGCCTAGTTCCGTTACGGTGGGGGCGGCGGGGTAAGGGGGCGAGGGCAGGAGGTCAGAAGATAGTGCTGAGGCGGCGATGACGGAGTTGAGTAAGGTGAGCGGGAGTTGACCCAAGGATGCTGTTGTCGTTGCTTCGAGGAAGTCTTTGGCCGAAGGATGGAGGATGGGGATTGCGGCATGTGGTACCTCGACTTTGTCGTTTTGTGGGGATGCAAAGGAGAGGAAGATGCCGATTAGAAAGATTATCATCGCGTAGGGTACGCGGGGGTAGGGGAATGTGCATAGTAAGAGGGTAACTGCTGCGATGGCTACGAAGAGGTTGTCGCCCCACCAGGGACCCGTCCAGGTGAGTGATGACAGGAGTTTTGTCCCTGTGCTTAAGCATAGCGATAGGCCTGCTCCGACTTGAATCCCTTTTACTACTGGAATGGGTGTAACGCGATTCGCCCAGTTAATCAATCCTGTGATGCTGAACACGCCCACGAGTCCCGCGACCACTAGTCCCGCAGCTGCATTCTGTTCCAGCGTGAATTGGCGTGCGATTGCTACTGCTGCGATGGCTTTCATTGGTTGTACTGGTAGTGGGATGCCGAAGGCGAGGCCTGTGAGTACATTTGCTGCGCCGGTGAAGAGGAGGGTTGAGGGGAGCGATATCGAGTTTGTCAGGACGAGGGTTGTCATAAGCGGTAGGAGAGTCCCTAGATCACCCATTGAACCCGATAGTTCGGCCAACGGTTGCGATTTTATCGTCTCGATGTTGTGCAGTTGGGTGCGGCGGAAGCGCCGTGTCGTATTGCGGACTTGCTGGAGGAAAGACATGACTCGACTCGCTGGAAGCTGGACGCTGAAAATGCAGGGACTGAACGCGCAGGAAGGAAATACACAGATGGACAGGCAAAAGGAGATCTAGGGTAACGGGATCATGCTGGCAGAGGAAGTTTGTGTATATCGTGGAAGCGGTGGGCGTAGATGCAAACACGGACATGTCGGGTCCCATTGGTGACAAGTGCTCGATAAGCTGCATGCGCACGCGGAGCAAACGACGTCATTCAGCCTCCATTCAAGGGTCTCGTGAACCACCTCACCGCCTGGACGTACGACGCTACAACGTGTATTTCCTGCGGTGGTGTCTTGAAAGAGACATATGCACATGTACGTGCTCCGCAGGCATCGATGGTTGGGTTAGAAGTTACTGTATAGGGTAATTTGAGGGTTCCGGTGGCCTGCACCAAGGGGCACAGAGGGCACGACGGCGTGCAACGGTTATTGGTTGGAGTGCTAGTTGTCGCGTGGAAAGGGCACGAAAGGGCAGCTGCGATCGATGGTTGTGCCAAAAGTTGCCGAAGAGGGTATGTTGGCTGGTGCGGCCAAGGGCGCGAGGGGCACCGAGGGGCACCGGATCCTCGCTGTAATCGACGGTTTTTTGTGATCTTGCCTAACGTGGGGGTTTCGGGTGGTGAGCTTGCAGGGTATAACGACCCCGCTAGAGTTGTACGAACTGCCATTCTGCTGCCACGGTAATTGATAGAGGTTGGGAAGTTGCCCGACGTAGTTAGATTTGGGTCATGGGCTAGAAGGGGAGAAGGGCACCGTTGCACAGCGGGAATCGATGATTGTTTGGAAGTTGCCTGATTGATGTAGTGCATTTCTTGTACCAAGTGTCTTTTTGACGGGGAAGTAGAAGAATGCATCAGGCAAGAGCACGGGTACCTGTATGTTTTACTTGCTGAGTTCGAGCATTCCAAGCACCAAGTGTACCAGGAATCAACAGATTTCGGTGACATGTCTCGACATTCTCTTTCCTGATGCGGTAGCCACATGCGCACCTAAACAGTACCTTGAACGGGGTTGTTTCTCTTGGCAGCGGTTAAGATTGCTCGTTTGATCAACTCGGAAACTGCTTGAACCCTGAGCAATCGCCGGTCCCACATCAGAGCTACCAACACCAACGTCCATCCATATACGCGCCTCGCTGAAGCTGCGACGATGATATTCCAACGAATTAGTTCCACACATGCGACTATCATGTCAAATGTGGAGAAAATGCGCGTCTATTTACCCCCGTGAGTTTCGGTATACATAGAAGCTGCGATCGCGTCGTCGTTCCCCAACGCTCCCCTTTCAGACCCTCTCCTATATCTGTCCTCGCTCTCTGGGGAAGTTCAACATACCAGCCAGCAAAATGAGTCCATCAGCCATCAACACCGTCACTAGCGCTCTTAGCTCATCCACAACTCAGACATCGACCGCCCAAACACCAGCACTTTTCTCCCTCGCCGGAAAGACAATCGCTATCACAGGAGGTGGTCGTGGACTAGGAATAACTCTCGCTTTCGCTGTCGTTGAAGCAGGCGGCCATGCAGCCTGTCTAGACATCCTCCCAGAACCAAGCAACACAGAATGGCAAGCCTTGACGAAGCTTGCTAAGCAACTCGGCACTACGGCAACATACCGTCGATGCGACGTCACTAGCGAAGCGGAAGTCACGCAGGTTCTCGATGAGATATCGCGCGAGGCTGATGAGCAAGGCGCGCCACTAAACGGCATGGTGGCATGCGCGGGTATTCAACAAAGAGTGCCAGCGCTTGACTACGAAGCATCAGACTTTGAGCGCATGCTTCGTGTGAATGTTGTCGGTGCATTCATATCAGTCAAGAGGGCGGCGAGAATATTGAAGGGCAAGGGTACTGGTGGTTCCATTGTGCTCATCGCTAGTATGTCGGGTCAGGTCGCCAATAGGGTACGATTATCTATCTCAGTCCAAGGCTTTCAGTTGATCTAACCATAACCTTAGGGTCTCACTTGCACAGCATACAACGCCAGCAAATCAGCTGTACACCAAATGTGCCGCTCGCTAGCACAAGAGTGGGGTCAGTATGGTATTCGGGTGAACACACTTTCGCCAGGTGTAAGTCTACTCGCATCCCGCTATCTAGACATCATACTAACTGGATCCACAGTATATACGCACTGCGATGACCGACGAGCTTCTAGCAGCGGACCCAGATGTAGAGAAGACATGGATGGCCGGCGCACTGCTTGGAAAACTTGGCGTACCGGATGACTTCAAAGCACCAGCAGTTTTCTTGCTGGCAGAAGGAAGTCGATTCATGACTGGCGCCGACCTCAGAGTGGATGGCGGTCATTGCGCGTCTGCCTAGTTTTTATGACGTCGGTGTAATATGCTCATATCCCCGTTGTTGGTAATCCTGGTGTTTGGAGTGGACAGCTCACAACCATAGACCCATGGTTCGCTGTTCCAATGTACGGTAGAACCCACTATGAGCAAAACCTCAATACTTTTGAGACTGCTTCCTTCACTCACAATTCCTCCAATACAATACCTCTCACAAAACTCAAGACAACTTTCACACAAAAATCTCGACTTCATAGCAGCCATGTCAGACGACACCAGCTTCTCGTCATGCGATCAGTCGAACGATTGCCCACCCTCTTACAACACGCTTGAAAACCTGCCATATAATGCATCAGACAGTTTCTGCAACACCGCTTCTGAACCAACACCACACAACCCATCCGATCACATCCTCTCCCCTCTACCCGCTTGTTTCCCCGACGTCCACCAATCAACGAACCACTTCTCCACCCCCAGCGACCCAAACTACGACATCGAAGCCGCATCGCACATAATAAGCGCTTCCAACACTACGAACCTCGCTCTCTCCGCGCTGCACTCAAATGCCACAGAATTCGAACGTTCAAAACATATCTCAGCAGCTGAAGCCCTGCACGATACGCGCACTACACCCACGACGTCGAGGCAGAGAAGGAAGCCTTCGGCACGGGGCAAATGCTTGACTATTCTCATCATGATCTTGGTAATCATCATTATCGGTTTGGCTATACTCTATTTTGAGGCTGAAAAGCGCCGGAAAGATGGGGAGGGTCAAGGAGGTAATGCGGGTGGAAGACTGAGGGATGACTGGGATGACGGGAACGACTCAAATGACTGGAATGCCTCGATCAACCCAGTTGGAGGGCTAAGGAGGGGAACTTGGGGAGTTTGAGAGGTAGGATGAATGGCGAGTTGCTCTGGTGGCTGTGGGGTAGGAGGGGGAGATGCTGGACGCTTATTCCGTGATCTGCCTGAGTAGACAGACTGATTTCGATGATGATGGGTAGCAGATCGCGACATCAATCGTAACATCGTCATTTTCTTGACCTTTACGCGTACCCCATTTATTTCGATACCGCGCACACAACATACTTACATAGTGACCTTAATCGATGAGATGCGTTTAGGCATCCAGGAGTCGCCTGTACGTCATCGTGACCCCACATTCTTGAAGTACTTTGACCAATAGCGTTTCTTCGGAATCGTCTCACCCGACGCTTCATCAAGTCTGGCTACGCCCTGTTGCCTACGTTGATATGAGTCCTACATCACCCCAGAACGTGGTTGACACCACGATTGCGGGTCTTCTCCGCATCAAAGAAAAGTCACTGTCCCTTTGTTGGTGATGAACACCAGTAATTCTGCCCCAACCAAGCCAGGACATCACAGCGTCCTTCATCATGACAGGCGTCATGCTCTTCTGCATCGCCAACGAAGCAAAGCCCGCAAGTCTTACCTCTTCCCAACCCCACCCCTCTCATAAAACTAACACCCATCCCAGTTCGTCCACAAAGCCACTCACAACATGCCCGACAACTTCTCCCCCTTCTACATCGCCACATCCAAAGCCAGCCCCAAGCAACGCACCGACTACAAGAAAAAGCCAGACAGCCCCGACTTCCCATGCGAGTTCACTTCCACTGCTGAATGCAAAGACTGGCTATTGCACAACCAATACAGCGTAAACTTCATCAATCAGAACATCATGTTCGTCGCCGATGCACGTAGTGCCAAGGATGAAACTCTACTGGCTTACACGTATTGTGAGAGGACTATGCGCTTGGGCCCGAATGATGAATGGGTGCTTCCGCCAATGGCGCAGACGTGGTATGAATGGCGGATTAGGTATCGAGATGCTTTGATGTTTCAGGTTCATCTGCAAGACGGGGAATTGAATGAGACGTGGTCGTTGTTTTATTTGCGGGCGGAAGAGACTACGGATGAGGACGGGGTCATCGATATGGATAAAGCTACGAAGATAGTATCTGGGGAAGAGGTGTAGGCAGGAAGCTGGAGCGTTTTGCTGTATGTGTAAGACTTGTATGCTATCGCGACAACTGTAGTTTTCATGGATGATCTCACAGAATTCGCTTGGATTATGGTGTCTAAAGTCGCCAATGCGGTCAGCGAGGTGGTCATACGGCAAGCGTATACGAAGCGGACCAACGGCGCGATCGCACTAAAGTATGACGGCGTAGGACTTACTCCGCAAACTCTATATTCGTCATCCCTTCATTTCAAACTCTCCGCGTTCATGTTACTCCGGGGTGCGATGATCACTCCTACTAGGTCTACTTAGTCCAGCTCTAGGTCGCGCTACAATCGACAAAAATGACGCCAATAGCCCAATGGCTACCCAAGTATCGACCGTGTATGGAATGCCTTGGGCGATGATGAGAGTTGAATTGAGCTGAAGCGCTGTTTGTCGTTCCTGACGTTGCGATTGATAAGGCGACTCAAGTCAAGGTCGCCAAACGGAAGAACGAACAACTCGGAAAACATGTAGCCATGAAATTCGGAATGAGCGATTGGTTAGCTAGCTTATTAAGCCAGCCACTCCCAAACACTGCTATATCGTGATGTCTCCTATGCCACGTGAGCGAGGCGCTCTAAAGAGCAAGATGCATATTGCATTTTCACTAGCAGCCAATACATGTTGCTAGCGTAAGGGGTAGCCACATGGCAGCGCTAGGAGCGAGGCGACGATCCCCGCACCGTCCTTCAGCTCACGTAGTGCATATCGGTTAAAACAATTGCTGTGCTTGAGGCGTGGCGTTTGAATGTTCAGCTCTCTTCATGGCGATGTAGTCAGCTTGAGTCGCAGTCCACGAACGCGGAGATGCTAAACTCCGATATTGGCGATGTTGACACAGGACATCGATCACCCCGTCAACAATCTCCACAGCAGGCCTATGCAAAGCAGGAGGCCTTGCGACATCTACCCTCATAGATCCCCGCGGCGAGTTTCAGATCAGCCACGGCCCGTAGCGCATCGGCTGGAAATCCGCGTTAATCCGCGCTCGAAATACTCCATGCGGATATTTGTTACACCAGATCCGGCGACAGCACAGCTGCGGCGCGGATAGCATGGCAAACGGCATCAGGCACCACGGGGCGATGAAAAACGAGATCGGGGCATTCTAGATCCGACCAAGTGCAGTCCCACAAGACCAGAAGACGCGTAATTGCTTTTGAGATGCTGCGAGGCGAGGTATCGTGGAGGCATGGTCTAGGGCTGAAGGGCGATTGGTGTAGGCACGTCGTTCTTGTGTGACTCTCGAGATTGGTCGTTGAGATGGTGGTGTTCGAGGTAGGAAGAACAAACAAGCAGGCTAGATGTCCTTGATTAGTGTTTATCGAATCTCGATGGCCGCGAGTGTTTTCCCGTGGGCGTAGACTACCCCAACAGAAGGAATGTGCCAGTTAGTACGCTCGTAGTGTTCATGCAAGATCGTATGTATAGCAAGCGATGTGTTTGTTCCCCGGGGATGGTGTGCAGAAAGCCGTTGGTGCTTGGTGGGTGGAAGTTGGAAACCTTGGAAAGGAGCTCCTTGCCCTATCATGCACCCCAATACGGAAGCGGTTAGGCGCGAACCGGTCCCCGGCGCCCTGGCTGCCGGGTTCGCATGAGGAGAAGCCATCCAACGATGACACCGGTGTCACCAACAGCGACATGGATGATTGTGTTGCGCAAGGGAGCACGATGGCAGACGACATATGCAGGTGAAGCAGCGCTGCAGGCAGTGGAAGGGCTGACGGCATTCCAAGGACTCCACTTGGTGCTATCAAAACTTCATTAACGCGACTAGGCGAGTCTCCGTCAACCGTCGCATGGGCTAGCTCCACATTTATTTCCATACGAGCGACACATTCCGAAGATTGACAAGATTCCATTTGCAATCGACGAGTTGCGCCGTGGAGTGCGTCTCGTCAGCCACGATAACAGAGATTCGGTCCTAGATACAAGAGGCGACTTCCACAGGTCGTGGCTGCGGGCGCCGGCCGGCGACCTCCGAATAGCGCGTCCGCTCCGATACGCCAGGGCTGGCGTGGCTTCGAGGGGGAAAAGCATGTGTATGCGCCAAGATGAGGTGTCGCAAAAGGCGAGCTGCAGTGCCCGGAACTTCACGACGTTCCCCAGGCTTAGGCTGAGGGAAGCGGCCGGCCACCTTCACGCGCAGCACGCCGAGACAGCCTAGCTTGCCGCGAAGTGGAATCGTATGGGCCGCGCGACTAGTCCAACTAAAGCAGGGCTTGATCGGCCTGATATGGGTCATTGGTTCTTCGCGGGAGGTCGAACGCGACAGGGTTGGTCGTTGCCGCTGGTCCTTATCTTTTTGGTGCGGGATCATGCTAGATACACTTTCATTCACGTCCGCCGTCCAGGCCCTGTGCTACGAACGCACCCTGACTTAAAAGACTCGCTTCGCCTTCACTGGTAAAACGAGCAGAGCTTGACGTCGATCCTCTCGCCGGTCGACTCCGCATCAACCGTACTTCTTCATCGCACACAACTCAATTTTGCGATTATCCCCCGCGGTGTCGTCGAGAAAATTTCTACTACAATGTCGGGCTTCGTTCACAAGGCCAATGGCGCGGTCGCGCGCTCCATCGTCGGACGGTACTTTCGCCTTGAGGGTTCAGGTCATGTATGTATATCGCATGTCGATAGTCGGTACATGCACTAACAGCCCTATAGCCCAAAGAGCGCAAGGGGAGCTACTTCTTCACTGAGTTCCGCGCAGGACTAGCCACCTTCTTCGCCATGGCTTATATCATCTCTGTTAACTGTATGTCAATTGCGGGATGTCGTTGACAGGACCGCATCTGATGACCATGTGTAGCATCCATCGTGTCAGACACTGGTGGTACTTGCGTATGCCCAGGCCTCCCGGACGACCCCATCTGCGAGACGAACCCACAGTACGCCCTCTGTGTCCAGGAAGTCAGACGTGATCTGGTTACTGCGACGGCTGCCATCTCCGCTTTGACTTCTTTCTGCATGGGCTTGTTCGCCAATCTGCCCATTGCTCTGGCTCCGGGTATGGGATTGAACGCCTACTTTGCTTACACCGTAGTTGGTTTCCATGGTACAGGTACGTTGCACCAATGCGCCATTCCCCGTTCCCGTTCATGTATCCCCGTTACGTGGTGCCCTAATTGGGTCTGCTTACCGGCGCCACGGGTCGTACCAGTTGATCTTCGTGGAACGTTGCTAATTGCTTTTTAGGCATGGTCCCCTATGAGGTCGCTCTTACTGCTGTATTCGTCGAAGGTTTCGTCTTCGTTGGCCTTACCATGTTCGGTATTCGGCAATGGCTTGCAAGAGCTATTCCTGCTAGTATCAAGCTCGCCACCGGTGTCGGTATTGGACTCTACCTCACGATCATTGGTCTCGCCTACTCCGCTGGTATTGGTCTCATTACCGGTGCTCAATCGACCCCGCTCGAACTCGCCGGTTGCGTTGCTGCAGACCAGGTTGATGGTGTCTGTCCAGGAAGTGTCAAGATGAGGAGCCCAACCATGTGGATCGGTATCTTCTGTGGTGGTGTCTTGACCGTCATGCTTATGTTGTACCGCGTCAAGGGTGCCATCATCATCGGCATTCTCCTCGTTTCCATCATCTCGTGGCCCCGTCCAACAAGCGTCACCTACTTCCCGTACACCGAGACTGGCAACTCCGCTTTCGACTTCTTCAAACAGGTCGTTACTTTCCACCCGATTGGCAAGATTCTTGCTGTTCAGCAGTGGAACATCTCGGAGCACGCCGGTCAATGGGGTCTTGCTTTCATTACCTTCCTCTACGTCGATATTCTAGACTGTAAGTTGCACGTTACAGAGACTTCTTGAGCTATATGCTGACATCACTAGGCACTGGTACTCTTTACTCCATGGCTCGTTTCTGTGGTGTCATCGACGAGCGCACCCAGGATTTCGAAAACTCCTCCATCGCATACTCCGTCGACGCTCTCGGTATCAGTATCGGATCGCTTATGGGATGTCCTCCAGTCACCGCCTACATCGAGTCTGGTGCCGGTATCTCTGAAGGAGGCAAGACCGGTCTGACTGCCATGTTCTCCGGTCTCTGCTTCTTCATCGCCATCTTCTTCGCTCCGATCTTCGCATCCATCCCTCCCTGGGCTACCGGCTGTACCCTGGTAATCGTCGGTTCGCTCATGGCAACCTCGGCCAAGGACATCAACTGGCGCTACCTCGGCGATTCCATCCCCGCTTTCCTCACCATCGCCGTCATGCCCTTCACGTACTCCATCGCCTATGGTCTGATCGCCGGTATCTGCTCGTATATCCTCATCAACGGCACCGTCTGGCTCATCGAGCTGGCCTCTGGTGGTCGCATTGTACCTCCCAACAAGGACGAGAAGGAGCACTGGACTTGGCGCCTTGAGGGCGGTCTCCTCCCCCCGTGGATGAAGAGGCTTACCAGCGGAAAGAAGGACTTCTGGAGATCTGACCCAGAGACTGTGGGTGTTGCAGAGCCGCATAGCGGAGGCAGCTCGGCTCACGACGACAAGGAGTTTGTCACCGATAAGCGAGCCTCGTAGACTATGTCTGCCTTGACATTGAAATTGTATTGGGGAGTTTGATAGTCATTCTGCGACCTTTTTGTATACATGGCGTTATCACGTCGAGGCGCCTTAATGCGCGCAGACGCGGGTAGTTTTCTTCCAATTATACCCTCACTTGTATCTGATATAGATCGGATTTATTACAATGGTACACGCATCGTAGCATCTTCATTTTTATAAAAATTTGCGTGTGATTCCTGTTTGCTGTCAGGGAGAGAGCACGCCATGTTCCAGAGCCACCGGCGCACGACGTCTGACATTCAGCCCGCCTGGTACAAGGATATCCAGACTTGTCAGATATCGATCTTGCAGCAGTCGCAACCTCAAGCCACACATCGGCAATCGGTGTTTGCCGCCACATCGGAGGCCGCGACCGAGTCACCGACATAGGCAAGCTCCGAGGCACCCCTCTCGAAGTATCTTGTGATACATCCAACCGCCGGTTCCGCAGTTAGCACAAGATTACTGCCGTTGACTCCGCTCTTATCCCTTCAATTAACTCTCGCGTTGTGTCGCGGTATACACTAGGGTCTACAACTCCCATAAAGAGCATCATTCCACAGCTTAGCATACCTCGAGGTTCCAGGCGCGGACATCCGGTGGCTTACGAGATCTTTTTCTAAGCAGAGTGGTAGCGAGCTCTACGCTTTGCAAGCACGCGGAACGACCAAGCTCCGTTATTCTTCCTCGACACAACTACTTTAAGAGAGGGCGATACCAAAAGAAAGCAATTGGACCACAGTCATACCCCAAAAACATGCCTGTGGAACTCCAGAACGGGCTGCCTGCCCACGGCACTAACGGTGTCAACGGCAACGCGACAGAGCTTTCAAATCCCACACCCGCACACCCAGCGTTCGACTCGATACCAGACGTTATACAAGCCTTCGGTACGTGCCTGCGAGCATCACCAGCTCTAAGAATCACCCTACCCCTCACCCCACACAACCTTTACTAACGCGCCCTCTCCAGCAAACGACGAATTCGTAATCGTCCTCGACTCGCCCTCGCGCGAAAACGAAGGCGACCTCATAATCGCAGCCTCGGCCCTCACCCCCTCAAAAGCCTCTTTCATGATCCGCTACTCAAGCGGCTACATCTGCGCGCCCCTCCCCGTCTCCCGCGCTGCCGCCCTGCACCTCCCGCAAATGGTCGCCGACAACGCCGACCCCAACCGCACCGCCTACGCCGTCAGCATCGACGCGTCCGACGCGTCCGTCACAACGGGCATCTCAGCAACAGACCGCAGCTTAACATGCCGCATGCTCGCAGACCCCAGCGCCAAAGCTAGCCATTTCAGGAGACCGGGTCATATATTGCCGTTGCAGGCGAGGGATGGTGGTGTGCGTGAAAGGAGGGGGCATACAGAGGCTGCGGTTGATCTGTGTCGGCTGGCGGGCAAACAACCCGTGGGTGTTATTTGCGAGTTGATTACTGATGGCGAGGAGGTGCCTGGTAAGCCGGAGTTGATTGGTGGGGGTATGATGAGGAGGGATGATTGTTTGGCTTTTGGCAAGAAGTGGGGGATTAAGGTGTGTACGATTGATGATATGGTGAGGTATATCGAGGAGAATGATGGGGTGCTAGGTACGTCCTCATAGTTTGAGGCGGGCAGAGGACCGGGGAAAGGTGCGATTATGAGAGGAAGGTCATTGATGAGATGATCCCGTTGGTATGTTGTACGTGGTCGGTGTTGGCGCACTTTGATGGACACACATGCTCTAGTCGTGGAGCAGGAGGAGAAAACCTGATATTGTACTATTAGATACTCCAATCCAGCGCAAGCTTCTCTACCCGAAAGCCAGACGAGTCGTACACGCATGTCATTCTGTAAGATCCGACGAAAACTAGCTCCGCCCACGCTGATACCACGAAAAGTAATCAAAATGTCCCGACCCATTGCGAACAGAAAGCCAAAGCCAAGCAAGCAAACCACCTCTCAGCTAGATACTCCAGACGATAGTACCGCCCTCATCCACTCCCTCCAAAGAAGTCCTCCAGCTTCCCCACCACCTCCTGCATAACCTCTTCGCTGACCGAAAACCTCACCCTCGCCCAACCCCCATCTTTCTCCACCCCATTGAACACCCTCCCAGGCGCAACTTTAATCCCACCCCTGCCTTCCAAATCTCTCCAGAAAACATTCTCCTCTTCCACAGTCCTAGCTTTCTTTGCTAGTTTAGCAAAGAGGAAGGGACCGTGTGTAGGTACCACGAATTCGATATCGTGCTGCCTTAGGATATCGGTGAGGGCAACGTAGGAGGATGTCAGTCGATTGTTATTCAGAGTGCGGAGATCGGGGAGTCGCGAGGACGTCAGAAGGGAAGATAAGTAGACGGTCGAGAGGGACGAGGGGTGTGTACTCGTCAGTGCCAGGGAAGTCAGGAGGGGAGTGTTTTGCTGGGAAACCACGCAACCCTACAATACTCATATCAGCTCATCATCATTCCAACACGTGTGATCCCGAGGAAAAAGAGGAGCGACTTACGATCTTCAGCCCACCTAATCCGAATAATCGACTTGCACTCCACACAATATGCACACGACTCGGATCGACCTTCACCGCACCCTCCGGTACAAGCGGTTCCGTCAACGCCAACGCACTTACAAACTCTGCTCCATCTCTCTTCTTCTTACCTCCTCCTCCTCCACCCTCCTCCTTACCACCATCTAACCGCATCAACCCAGCCCCCTCATCAACAATTAGATGCAATCCTCTTTCTTGACAGAATTCCAGTAACTCCCGTAATGTTTCCCGGGGGTAGCATCGCGAGAGGGGGTTGTTGGGGTTAGATAACAAGACGGCTTTTATTCGGGAACGGTGGGAGGAGAAGTCGTAGGCGGCTTGCAGGGAGGGGACGAGGTAGTTGTCCCAGTGGGAGTAGGTTGGTGGGCGGGCGGGAATTAGATGGACGTTTGCTTTTCGCTTCAATAGGACTGAGATGTCTGCTATATAATGTCAGAAAATGGAAGGGTGTGGTTTTGTTTTGTGAGTAAGACATGGGAAAAGTTATGAGTCTGGATGGTTTTGTGACATGAATACTTACGACAACTCGGCCCAGGAACAAGCACACTGTCCCCATCATCGCATACAGCATGAATTAGGTTCTCAATCCCATCCGTAGTCCCATCCGTAAGAACGATATGTTCAGCCCTGACAGCATGAACAGGCTTGAAATACGTGTTGAAAAATCCCGCAAGAGCGTTTCTTAATCCTAAATCGCCGCCATTAATCGACGGGACGGGCTCCGAAAATGCCTATTCCATCACAACACATGACTGGCCGAAAGTATACTGTATAGCGAGGGGATCAACATACCTCAACCGCCCCAACATCTCTAACAACATCTCCCAGAAACTGCTTCAACTCGGGATACAACACCTCATTACCCCCACAACTGAGGTCAATCGTATTGCCGAAAGGGTCAAACGACGCTGGTGCGGTACCCGAAAGCACAGGAACAAGCCGGTCGAGCGCGTTCCGCGCTCGTCGCGACAGCCCCGGGTCCATCATGGATGACACGGAGAGGTGGCGCGTGCTGCGCATTCAGGAATGCAGTATGATATGCGTGATGTACAAGATTGAGGTGGAGTAAATACAGCTACAGTACTGTGGGGAAGCGACCCTGCAGCACGTCGCGATAAAAGTAAAACGTTTGCGATCTCATCGTCTGGGGTGTTGCCAAGGGTGGTCGCTGCGGTCTGCGGCACAGTTAATTGTGAGGTCCCAGTGGTTTGGTAACCCGGAGTTGACGCGACGCGTCTTGTTGGGCTGGACGGGTCATAGCTTCGATACGGTAACGGATATGTTAAAAATGAGAGGAAGAAAGAAGGAGGGACATAAGTTCTAGTATTGGATTCGCGATAATGAACAAAAGCGTGTGGGGAATCTCTGAAGAAGGGAAAGAAGGGAAAAACGACGTCCCCCTTCTGCACCAAGACCATGCAAGTTATACAGCCTGCACGCGTGCCTTTTCTCCCCTGGTCTATCCTGAGCCTCATGCCCTGCCCTGACCATCACTATTACACAAATGCATGCCCCAAGCCAGACCAACGCCGTTGAAGATGCTCACGGATAAATGCATGCAGAGCGCATGCAGGGTCTAAGATAAGCGATGAGCTACGAAGCCCTATAAACGCCCTCGAGGAAATCTGCATGGGTCCGTATCGACATTGGGAAAAGCGCAGTACGTGGACTGCGCAAGCGTAAAGACGACTGGTCGTCGAAGGAATGAGATTGAGTCGGCAAGTCGCTGATCTATTGCTGTGGCCGTCCGATACCTTGCTTAGCCTGAGGAGATGTAAGCTTCATCGTTAAAACAAAGACGGCGGTCTTCTTCAAAGTGCGAGGTGTCGGAACTGACCTTCATCATCTCGATCCTCTGCTTGAGATTTTGGGTAACCTCTGCGGCACGCTTCCAGCTTTCCGCACCGGAAGCACCGGCGGAAGGTACCCGGTGAGCCGTCCCGTTCTCGGTTGGGCTTCGGCCATCACGCGACATCGACGACAGACCATCTGCTCGTGGACTTAGCTTGCCGCTCAAGTTACTGCCAGGGCGAGATAGAGAATCAAAGTTCTCCTTACCATCGCCGCCCGGGCTTCCTGGCCCACTGGCAAAACTCCTCTCTCGCCTTGGGTGCATGGCCCGACTGCCGTAGCCGGAATCACCAAAATGCGCGCCGTTGGTGTTACCAACTCCGTTGTCTGTGTAGATCTGGTCTCCGACGTCTGTAGGTGGTGGAGAATTGGAACGCGCTTGCCGAAGGAGTTCGCGCTTCAATCGATCAATCTCGCGGCGCTGGTTCTGTACTGTCTGCTCCGATGCTTCAAAGTCTGACCGCGCACGGACGAGTTGCGTCTCCTTTGCTTTTATCGAGAGCACGTCGCGAGTGTGATCTTCGATGAGCTGAGCGTTCTGGTTCTGGAGCTCGTGAATCTGCGAAGTGAGGTTCGTCCGCTCTGCACGCAAATCTTCATTCTGTCTCCGTACTCGTTCAACCTCTGCTCGTAGCTCATCAAGTTCCGCACGTTCCACCAGGCTGAGGCCGGTTGGCGCTTGTGGTGCTGGGGCAGCGACGGGTTCAGCAGCAGGCCTTCCTAGGGGACGACCTGCGAGACCGCGTCCGGCACCAAACTTGGGCTGTGGCGGCGGCGCTTCTTCCTCGGGAGGAGGTGAAACGACAGATTTCCGCGGCGAAGGAGCTCCGAGACCTGAGCCTGGCTTCTTCAGCCCACCGAGTCTTGATGGCGCAGCAAGACCGGGCTTGGCACCCAATTTGGACGCGGCGGGTCTTGAAGTCGGCTTCGGCTCGAGAGGTGCGGCGGGCTCTTCCACAGGCGGAGGCGGGGGTGCTTTCGCTGCAGGAGCCGGCTTCTTTGCGCCACCCGGCGCTGGCCTTTTACCCATAGGCTTCTTAGTCGGTGCTACGGCTGCAGGCTTGGGCGCTGGCGCAGCCTTTGGCTTGTATTTGGACTTGACTTCCGCAGCATCGAAGAACTCCTTGATCTTGGTCTTGCGGATCTCGTCAAGTCCGTCCAGATGAGCGTTCATGATACGGTCTCCCATAATCTTCCACAGCGTACCAAGCACCTCGGCACCAGCAGCTCGCTGTACCTCTTGAGATTCAGTAAGTAGTTTCGTGGAACTCTCTGCGATGGCCTTGGCTTGTTCCGGTGTTGGGGCTTCGCGGGTGTTCTTCAAGCATCGAACCAGGAATCGCGACGATTCAAGTTTGACCTGAGGATTCTTGTGCTTTAGAAACTCCAGAATCTCCTCCAGGCACTCTTGAAAGCTTGTACATGCGAATGAGGCGTCCAGAGCAGCTCCAATGGCGTCAGTCACAGTCTGTTTCTTCTCCTTCAGGCGCTCCATCATTGCGTTCATGACGTCTTTGCGGTACTTGGCGAAGCTCTTCTTTAAGCCCTTGGCTAGAAGCTCGACACAGTTCGCAGCAGTTACAACACAGGCAATATTCGCATCCTTCAGGCAGGTCTTCGCAAAGCCGCGCACTAGCTCATCGAAAGGTCCTTCGGCGATCCTTGGGTGATCAAGAGCTTTTTGCGTGTCATCGAGCGCTTCTTTTCGGTCTTTCCATTTTGACGAGGCCAACTTCTCCGAAAAGTCCTTGGGAATCTTTGCGAAGACATCAACGGCTTCGTACTCGGGCTCAAGATCAATGGCGGCCTCTTCTTCCTCTTCCTCCTCTTCGACGTCTGGTGCGGCGGCAGCGGCTTCCTTGGCAGCCTGCTGTGAACGGAGCAGTCGCTCCTGTTTTGGCGTGGGCTCTTCCTTGACCTTTTCAAATAGCTTGTCGAGATCTTGCTGTTGGACGGGCTTCAGATCGTTCCAGAAGAGCGGCTTCATAGCCTCTTTTAGCCATCGGTAAAGTTCGACTGTCAACTCTTGGGCCTTGGCGCGAACGTTCTTATCCGCGTGACCGTATACTTTTGGGAGCGCCTTGAGGACAGGCTTAGGCTCGATGGTTTTGCAGCCGTAGGCATGGTAAATCTGTGTAAGGGCATCTAAAGTTGCGGCGATGACTTTGGGTTGCTTGTTTCCCAGTACTGGTAGGAGCTCTTCTATCACGGGGTCGGGCTTGTCGGTCTCGATGTATAGCATGAGCGCTTCGAGCGCCTTCGCCTTTGCCGCCGGTCGCGTCGATGGAAGGCCCTTTTCAGCGATGGTCGTGATGGTATTTCCGCGTGTCCTATCAATGCTTTAGTAATGCGCCGCGCATAATTTTGCAAAGCGCTTACCGTGTGCAGCCGTCCTTTCCTGCTATCTCGAGGAAGGCGCACAGTGCGCCGAGACCTTCTTGTTGTGCCGCGACGTTGGAGTCGCCTGCAACACCTTTCCATATGCTCGCATCGTTTATGAACTGGCGCACAACAGGGTCTGATTCACTGGCGGCGAGACTGAACTCTTTGGCAGCGGCCTCGTACCCTTCTTTCCGTACTTTCCAGTTCTTGTGTACGAAGCGATCTGGGAGCGGCAGGGAACTGAAATCTTCCTCTGCGTCGGCCATGGCGTGTTATGGAATGTGATGGATGTAATGCGGGGTCGTCTAAGAAACCAGAAAAGCTAACGAAGAGTAAGTCGCGGTATTTTGGAAGGTTGAAAGCCCCTGTAGCAAGAGGCGCAACAGTCTAAACACTGTGTAGAGCAACAGTGATATGCGCAGAGTGGGGACAGTTGCGCCATGACTGATGCAGGAGGTAGGCGCGGCGGAGACGTACCAGATGATGTCAGTAGACAATGTTGTCGATTGCTTTTTGTGAGACTATTGAATCGCAAAGTCTCGGGTAGCGATAACAGCGGAGTGTGAGGGGTCGAGTATGGGTGTGGGCTGGTGATGTAGAAAGTGCAGTATTTGGGGCGCTGGTTTCCTCGGGAACAACACAGCAGCGTCACAGTTGTTCCTGCTGCCCAACATCCCTGCAATGAATGCCCCATCACCCCCATCGCCCGTCACCCCCATCGTCCACACGCACGATTATTGCTTCAATACAATCGCTATCCTCCCGCCGCCGCCTCTCGCCTCCTCTAATTTGCGCCCAAGATACCCCGCCAGCCGCCCCTGCAGACGACCCTCCGCTCACCGCAATTCCCCGCGCCCACCAAAAACCTCCGCCTCGACCGCACACGACTACGCACCACGTCGCGATAGTGCATGGTCCCGTCTAGCGTCGATCGCGTATGACCTAGCCATTCCGCCATGAGCGCGATATTGACAGACCGGCAAGCGGAAGAGCTGTGAGCATTGCAGACAGCGAGTGACTCGAGAGCCATGACTGACGATGAGCCAGGCACAAGGCCATAATCGCATATCTGGGCGTTATAAACGCGCCAAAGACGGCGGAAGCGTTCCGGGAAGAAGCCAATATAGCCGAGAGTTTCGACGATGCCACGCGGAAAAAGTATGAGGGGCTGCTGGAGAAGAAGTGGACCAGTGTAGTGCGATTGCAGAAGAAGGTGCTTACGCGTCAATACCTGCACTGAAATCATATGCTTACCCTCTGCAGGTTTTGGAACTCGAGCAACGCAATCAGAGCCTTCAGAGTGAGCTCGACTCCACAACGCCAACCTCACTCATCAGGAGAAACCAAGACCCCACCGCCTGGCTACCACGGGCTCCAGCACGACACACCCTCCAATCACATCGCTCGCCCATTACCTGCGTCGCCTTTCACCCCGTATTCTCGTCACTCGCTTCAGGCTCGGAAGACACTACCATCAAGATCTGGGATTGGGAATTAGGTGAGCTCGAAAGGACGGTGAAGGGACATACAAAAGGAGTGCTGGATGTCGATTTTGGTGGTCCAAGAGGTGGCACACTGCTGGCGTCATGCTCGAGCGACTTGACCATCAAGCTGTGGGATCCTTCGGACGAATACAAGAACATCAGGACGCTTCCCGGGCACGACCACTCCGTCTCTGCGATTCGATTCGTTCCTAGTGGCGCCGCCGGATCCCCGTCGTCGGGCAACTTACTAGTCTCTGCGTCTCGAGACAAGACACTGCGCATTTGGGACGTCACAACGGGATACTGCGTCAAGACGATACGCGGGCATGCTGACTGGGTACGAGACGTAGCCCCTAGCTTTGACGGACGATGGCTCTTGTCTGCAGGAAACGACCAGACTGCCCGGCTATGGGACGCAAGCTCAGGAGAGCCCAAATGCACATTTCTCGGTCATGAGCATGTTATCGAATGCGTCACAATAGCGCCTCCAGTATCGTACGCCAACCTTGCAGCACTCGCCGGACTCAAGAAACCACCACCACTTAGTAGCTCTGCCGAGTATGTTGCGACTGGATCAAGAGACAAGACCATAAAGATATGGGACGGACGGGGAACACTGATCAAAACACTTACTGGTCATGACAATTGGATACGGTCGCTGGTCTTCCACCCAGGCGGAAAGTACTTGCTATCGGCTAGTGACGACAAGACTATCAGATGCTGGGACCTCACTCAAGAAGGCCGATGCGTCAAGACTGTTACCGATGCACACGGGCACTTTGTAAGCTGTATGCGTTGGGCTCCCAACGTCATCAAGGATGTACCTGTCAATGGCGATGCCACTAACGGCGCAACCAATGGTGCCAGCAAGAAGAAGGAGGAGGATGCTGCCAAAGCAGGTATACGTTGTGTTATTGCGACAGGCTGCGTTGACTTGAACGTTCGCATCTTTGCGTCATGAGAGACGACAGCTTCGCCACTTTTGTTCGCATCGTTGCCAGTACGTGTTTTACATAGGAAGGTTGGATGTACAGGCGAAGGGGCTTCCGTACACGAGACTCCATGAGTTCCAGTTTTTACGACTTCATGTAAATACCCAAGTTACGCGCCATGATAGTCTCTCACGCGTCATAGTAAAGGCGCAAGTCGGAGAAGGGCATGCATATCAGGTTGGCGTCAATATGGGCGGGAAGATCAAGGATAGAGCAGCAAGAGACGTGCGATCTGTGTTTTCAATAAACGTTCACAGAGCGAAACGAGATGACTCGCAATATCCTCGTGCCTTACTCAATAATTACCATGTAATTCTACGATGTTCTCAGTACTGAGGCCCGTGTCTCTATGAGGCTGGGGTCCACCTTCGCGTGATGCCGGCTTAGTCACCAACGCGCTAGTGGAGCGGAAAAACTAGCCAAACCTCCGATAGCTTAACTTTTCTCTCAGCGACTTACGACTTCTCTTCCTACACCATTATTGCTACACACAGCAATGGCGCATCAACGATGTAGCAAGATTTGCTGCTGTGCGCACAAGACCTATGACTAACTGCCAGCACTAACAGCACTGCTCTCAGCATGCGCTCACTTTTGTAAGTACACACACATCATCCTCCATCCTGCGCTTTCATGATGATTCACAAAGCCAAAAACAAATTAGAGTCTTTGACCTCTAGGGGAATGAAACTCAAACTTTTGCACGTCAGTCTGATCGCGACTGCGCTCATCACACCTGTCTTCAACTCTTGCGACGAGAGCATCAAGCTAACTAGCTTCAGAATTTCTTGACATACACTTGGAACACAAGCGCAATGCGCTTTCGCGCTCATGACTGCCGCAGGTAGCTTCGCAGCTCGGTGATTTCACCGGTAAGCATACCTCTCCTCCACCTCCCTCCGTCCAATGATGATCAGATTGTGCTACGGCACGCTGGAAATTACCGACCAAGGCTTCTGCCGGTGCCGATAAACAATGGCTGTTTCTGATTTTGACTTTCACATTTACTGCTCTTCTCAACATCGCTTTTGGCTCTCGCTAACATTTCGCGCGTTGTAGACACTATCGTCCCGCGACCCAAATGGTACGATTCCTCCCTCTCGACCCCTCTTCGAACATAATATGATGATTCCGCACTGGGCACCGACAATTCGTGACGGATACGCTCATTATGGCAGGCCTCAGAAACCTCGCCGACTGACCTCGTTCGCCAATACTGCACAATCATGCAAGCGTCGCTGGGCTTCGGCTAACAACGCAATCAGTCTGTTCTTCCACCGCAGTCTGTAAGATCCTCATAGGTAAGCGCACTCCTATTGCTCACCTTCCGGGAAATGATGAACACTTGATGACGAGTCCGACGGGTTCGCCCGGTGAAGACTTAAAATCAAAATATCCATTCATGTCAACTGATCCCACTTTCATGCATACTGTTTGCTTTCTCTTCACTGGTAGAAGCTTTTACTAACTTGCTACCCAGATCCATCAGTGCTTGCCTCACTACAATCGGTACGCTCACCGCCCATCTCCTTCCTCGATATGATGATACGACTTTATCAATGACAAGCATATGTCCAAGCTTCGGCGACGACGAGAACTGTCCTGTCTGATCCACACTATACTGTGTTGCACTATGAAGATGAGATACAACAGCAACTGATCGGTTGCATAGGATCTTCTACTCATGTTGTAAGCGTGATGATATCCTCTATGGTAAGTCCTTGTCCATTACATCCACTTTCCTTTACAAGATGAACATTCAATTTATCACGACGGTCTACCGAGCTACGGCAATGGTGATAACTGCCTGTGACAGGGCATGAGTCTGATCAACACCCTCAACTTGCACATATTGATTGCTTTTTGCGTATCAAATGCTAACGATATGTTCAGATCTCAATCCTTTTCTATGATACTCGTGACCAGTGACGCCTTCGTATGCTCTTGCGATGCCGCTAGCAGTGTCCTCCAATCAATGATCTGGAATCGCCCTATGCATTTCAGGTCGACATCCTTCAGGCCAATGCCTTGCTTCTGCTCTGGGCACACACCACCAGATGTCTTCGAGCTTGGCGTGCGACGCACCAAGCATCATCCGTAATTCACCATGCCAGTAGCTCAGTACAATCCAATAGTAATATCTCCACGAATCCTTGCCGTCAAGTGAATCTCTGCCTCCAAATCTAGCTTGATACCCAGGAGTAACGCCGCATCCTTGGGCTTGCCGTTGTCGTCCACTGGTCCCTTGATGATGTTGCCGGCCGGTCGGTTGAGTGTGGCTGAGGATGGAACAGGGCCAACCTTGGAAGTGGAAGACACCTTACGGCCACCGGAGGCTTGTCCATCGCTCTCAGTGTCGGAGCCGTAGGCTGTTGGGCGGATAGTGGAGTCGCTGATTGAGGTTAGTACATGCAAAACCCTTCGTACCAGAGTTGCTTACAGGGTAGACATTCTGATGGACGGTTGGAGACAGCAAGAGGTTGATATTAGGTATCAGGCAAGTGGTTCAAGCTGGATAGGCGCCGGGCCGTTGCTAGGTATTGGTGATGGTAGATGGTGAGGATGAGATGAAGGTCAACTGTACTGGCCTTGATTAAGTGCCATATCTTTGCCTTATAAGCAAAGTCGCCATTAGACACGACAATAGCACATACCCTTCACCTTCGCCATGAGTCGATGTTGCGTTGGACGCTCGAAACAGCTGTTGTGGCACTCCTGCGTCTCAAAGTCGCTGCCATCATTCGAGTCTCGTACCAGCCTCACTACCGAAAAGGATTCCAGGGTCCAGGCAAGACGATCAACAGTGGTCGCTTGAACATTGTGGGGATATCCTATGCTTGCCGGCGGGGCGGCTATGAGGATGAAACACACAGGGGCTAGTGAGGCTCAGGGCGACCGTCTCAGCTTAGACATTTCTGTTCTCAGTCGAGCGAGCATCAGACCACCGGAGTTATCAAGCGAACCCGATTCTATGGAACTACGGTAATGTGCATAGACCAATTCGATCTGCATCGCAAGCGATGGCGAACATGGCGCATGTCCATGCTACCATCCACACCCAAACGCATTCCGACAATGCACAACACGCAAAATGGTCCTTTCAATCCTCATCGCCACAATCGTAGCCCCGGGCCTCCTCGGCTCCCAAGAAGCAATCCGGCAATCGCAATCCAAAGAGAAGCGCGAAGAACACCGCGCCCGCCGCTGCAACCTCATCGCCACATGCGTCAAATCTTCTCCTCGCAGCCGCGAGATAAACGGCCGGCAAGTCGTGCTGAGGAATGGGAAGCTCTGGATCGATACTGGGACGGAAGATGGAAGCCCGCTGGGTCATCCTTATGCCGGATATTACCTTCCTTACCCGGATACGAATTATGAGGGACTTGTCACGACGATTACGGATGTAGCGCCGATTATGAATTGGGTTTATGTTGATAGAGACACGGGAGAAGCGAAATACGGAGTGAGAGCTGATGCACAACCGCATCTCACCGGCCCATTCGACTGCACGCGTCAAGATCGGCGGCTCACATTCGATGGATGGGAGGGGTGGTGTGCAGTTGAACAAGCGCCCGGCCTATGGGGTCTGTACTTTGATATCAGCGATGACGGCCTCAAATCTAGAGTTGCACCTGGTACGCGTGTTCTGGAAATCGAACTTAGTCGCAAGGAAAGGAGGTGGAAGAAAGAGGCGGACGAGAGGATGGCGGATCAGACTACTAAGAGGGAGGTTGAGAGGGAGGAGGATGCGCCGGTTGAGAAGCCGTTGGGTGGGGAGGCTGTGGAGGTGAGGCCGGGGGTTGGGGCTGGTGTGGGAGATGGGAAGGAAGAGGGTTGGAGGCCGATGAAGATACCGAAGTCGATCTTTGAGGATCCGCCGCCCGTGGTGGAGAGTTTGGTTTTTAGGTCAAGGACACCGCCGCCGGCGTATGAGGCTGTTGGAGGGGGTGAAGAGGAGATTTCGGGTCCAGGGAGGGGACGGGACAGAGCATCTGCTGAGGTGTCTGGTATGGGTCAAAGTATTAACCCAACGCCTCCTGTCGTAACGGAACCTGTGCAAGCCGAAGCTCAGTCATCGCTCGCTGAAAAGACAGAAATTTCATCGAACGAGCCAAACGTCGCGCAAGCTCAATCACCACCGATACGTATCGATGAGGTCAGAGGCAATCCAGAAAAGGTGGACTCCCCGTCGTCACCTGAAGAGCAACCCACATCTTCCAGCGAGAAGCGAACGACACCCAAGTTGAACAGAAGCAGCGGCTCTCGAGCTCTAGCTCAAGCGCAGAAGTTCGAAGCCATGGCAGCAGCGCAAAAGACTAGTCCTGAGGCCGGAAAGCGATCGAGTAAACGTGGATCTCGTGCCAACAGTAACACTTCCTCTGTATACTCCAATGAGGATGCCTCACTGAGCGTGCCGAGTGTCAGTACACAGCCCCAAGCTTCACCAACACCGGCCCCTCTAGCACTCGCCGTCTCAAAGGCGAAACAAGCAAAAGCACTGGCGACACGATCGCAACCATCAATGACAACCGAATTTTGTGTCCGATCCGTCGATACAACGACCGGTAACACCTCCCCGCCAACGCGCACCTTCCATCCGAGAAGACCCAGCCATATCCCAAGCTCGATCTACGTCAAGCGCCAAACCCGTTATATCTCTACCCCGTCGACCAAATCCGAATAGATCTACTCCCAGCCCAAGCCTAAGTCCCTCATCACGACGATCAACCTCACAGCAGTCGACACAAAGACACACTCCCGATCGCCGACAAAGAGATCGTTCCATCTCTGAAGTCTCATCGCCATCCTCCTCTAGAGCCGCTACGTCTCGTTCGTCACCTAGATCCTCCACAATGACATCGGGGAGGCAGTCGCTTGCGAGGACTATGACGAGTGGCAAGGGGAATCAGGGGATGAGTAATAGGATTGGAGGGGGTCAGGGGAGGGGAAGTGCGAGTGGGGTGGGTAGGGGAGTTAGTACTACTTCTACTGGGAAGGGTGGGGGAACCGTGAGTACCACTAGTGGTAGGGAGAGAGCGGTGAAAACGGGTGGAAGGAAGACCACTTCGGCGTTGTTCAGGGAGATTGATGATTTGGTTGGTTTGGAGGACGAAGGTGGGAAGACGAAGTGATCTAGCGTTGCAACACCATCACACAGATGAAAGATAGACATCAATGAAAAAATCCCATCAAACATCATCATATCTACTTCACAGGTAGGTAGTGCTTGGTTGAGTAATCACGTTCTGTGTTGATGCCCGAAATCGATTAGGCGTCAATGCCACATTCCATAATTCGCTCAGTACCACCATCTTTCCTCATTTCTTCTACCACCTCACCTCTCACAATCACCAACATCCAAAACTCGAGCGACAGTCAATCCAGATGCTACGCGTTACCATGTGCGATGGATCCGCCGGCTAACCCATCCGTTGCATGTCTATGCGGTCCGGCAACTGTGAAACTCGACCCACCATCGACCGACTCACTCATCGCAAGTGCATCAGGTTTCCGACACGTTTTGGCCATATGTCGCAAGCGATTATGATCACGCGATGATATGTTGCCGTGTAGCGAGAAGCGTTTGATGGATATGGTAATGCTGAACGAGGGCAGTAATATGTCGAGTTGTTGGAAGCTGGGGTAACCATCTGGGTACCTCAGTATTCCAAGCACTGACTATCAACGACTGGGCTCTGATCGACCACTTCTCCATACCATATTCCTTGTTTATCGGTAGCATACAAATCATTCCCTAATACTTGTCAACTAATGCACTGGATGGAGGATTTGCCACAGGACTAAAGCGCATCTCCTACACGGCTTCTCTCTACCCAACTAATCACCCACCATGGATGCATCCACACGGCTCTACAAGCGCCTAGGAGAGATACCAGAGGACCCAAACGACCCCGAAAGTCTAGACGACCTGATAGTCTGCGCATTCGGCGCCTTCGAGCGATACTACGTGTGCTGGAAGACCAAAGGAGGAGAGTTTAGACAAGGTGCGCATACGCTGTCTGATAACAAGGGAAGGTTCTATACTAACAACCGGAAGATGGCTACGATCTCCCTCCCGCACTCAAGGACTGGCTCTACCCCAACGACGGCACAACACGAGACTTCGCATCCCTTCAAGTCGTCTTCGGGCGAGGCGAAGAATACTTCGCATCCGACAAGAACGGCAAGCTGGAGTACAAAGAGCCGGAACTGAAGAAGCAAGCGCCTACTGAAGATGAAGAGAAGCTCGATAGGCAAGCACTGAGGAGATCGAGAACGGTGTCGTTCTTGCGGCCATTGTCGGAAACGAGCATACGATCTGATAGCGGAGTGAGTGATACGAATAGGAGTAAGCGGTCAAGTTCGATCAGTTCGCAACGAGCGAGTCGGCCGCCGAGCTTGAGTTATACGAGTTCGAGGACGAACTCGGATATTTCGCTGTTGGGCGAGACGATTGTTGAGGGGCAGATGAGGCAACCGGGACGACCTTCGTATATATCGCAGTGGACAGCGCTCGGTTCGAGCGCGGGTGAGTTGGAACAAGTAGCGTCTCCGCAAGTATCAGATGATAGGATACATACCGAATCAGTGATGGAACGAGAAGGCAAGATGGAATCGATGAAGACGGCATCTCCAGCATCAGTTGCAACTACACCGCTACGACCCACCGTAGCCTCGAACACCATGATATTACAGCGGAGCCCTCCACCTCGACGAAAACCTACGTCAAACACTCCATCATGTACATGCAACTGCCACACCTCACAATCACCGCCAAAATCGACTTACACAACCACCGCAACACAAACATCACCTCCCCCTTCTCCACTTCACCGAGACAACCCATCTTCCTCCTACTGGCCCTCACAAGCAAACTACTCTGCCATACCCCAAGATCCGTCTTATTATACAGACGAAGAGTACGATACACCACCAGTCTTCATGGGGCGTATGTCGACGTATTTTAGCAAACCAGGGTATCAATTGGGAGACAGCTTGTTTAGTGGGTATCAGCCGATTGATTGGGGAAGTGGGTATGAAGAAGTCGAGGTCGAGGGGGATAGTTAGGGCGTAGAGGGGTTAGCTGAGGTGGAATAAAGGTGTGTCCGAGTGTGTGTTGTGTATGATATTGAGCAGATCTTTGTCCGTAATGCAGTGTTCACATTCGATGGGTGACTTCTTGAGTTGGTTATTCAGCAGCATTCCTGTTTGTCACGTTTTCATAAATTTCGTACAATGTTTGCTGTTGCCTCACGGAAGTACCTTTTTCTTTCCCTGGGGCGAATCATTACTTCTTTCCATGAGTCAGCTCCGTAGCACTCATTGTCGAAATCAACCTTCTTCCCGGTGCACCCCCGAATTTGCGCCCTGAGTACACTACAAACCAGTAAAACATCCTTCACGTTACATAAACACTGAGCCCAGGAACATTCGTACACCCTTCCCTTTGCCCCACGCAGCTTACACCCACAGCATCGACACAGCCAGTCCCATCTATGCCACGCATACACGCGGTAAACGCGCCACCAATCCCATCGTGCAATGAAGAACAAGCTTGACCGTCACATTCCAACGATCGACTTGCCAGCTGCATGCAGGGTGAAGCGGAAATTCCCCGCCGTGCATGTGATTGATGACTTACATCCGAACCTTGCACCTTAGCATCGGAACACTTCAGCACCGGAGCATAACGTTGAACTAGTGTTCACAGCATATCCAGGGCTATGCTGCTTACCTACTGCTGATCTCCAGGACTCGTACCGGAAATGAAATGGTTATTAGCAACCGACCTCATGGACGGGATGGGGCTGGAAACGGGCGATGACGTCGTATCTCGTGTTACCTGACCTTCCATCGCGAACTACCCGTTCCTGGGTACTGTACGCGAAACGCAGCGACGGCAGCTGCCCGGGCATTTTCCGCCTCATTTTGGTTCTCACCAGTAAAATACACTCGATCTGTAGCTAATAAATTTACGACAAGAGCAGATGATTCCGCAAACCCACAACCCCCACAATACAGACGCGCGCGAACACCAACTCGCAAAAAAACTGATTCATTGTCGGCGTTGACGATCGCGATATCCAACTGGCTGTATTACCCAAAGGGGAAAAAGTCGGTGGAACCTCGTCGTCTTTTCGCCTCGGTACAATGAACAGGAAAGACAACACGAGACGTTGACATCATTTTGAACGGGTGTCAGACGCATCACATTTCCAAGGGTCAAGGACAAGGGCACTTTTTCAGGGTCCTTCCGAAAGGTCCGACAGAGAGGTGTGTGACAAGGTGCGACAGCAGACAGCAGCCGTACCGACGGCCGATGCCGAAGGTAGGGGATTCAGGGATCGACGATCTTGCCTTGTCTGAAGAAGGAAGGGTCCTGAGATATGCTGAGGTCGACTGACGTATGTCCTCATTGAACTGAGAACAACCAGAACCTTCAAGATGGTGTTCGACAGAACGAGTTCGTCTTCTGACGTCCTGAAGGAGGTGCTAGCGCCAATGAGCTGTTCTTCCACCCCACAAACCTTGGAAGCCCACGCAGTCTGCGAACGCCGAAAACCCGCGGGAAAAAGTATCATGATGCAAGCGATGCGACGCATAGCGTCTAGACATCCCATATAACCTTCACATATCGCTATGCCTTTACTCTCAAGAAGGAAGTCCAGTTCGCTAGGCGGGATTGCCCGCGGCTACATATGCGAGAGTCTATAGATGCATTGCATGCGTGCGTGATTTTCGCTATTGGAACGCTTCGCTACAAAGACGGAAGAGAGGATACTACGGTTGCGGTTGCAGGGTCGCGATGAGTGATTATCTCGAAAGCTCGGTTCGAGAGAACATTGTTAATAAGCTGAGCTACCTCTCCATTCTCGTGAACATTTGCTACAACACTTCTTCAATCTTGGTATTATCTGTTGGGATGCTGAAAACGGCAGACTAGCACTATCGTGAGGAAGTATGCACCCGCCCTTATTACGAAAATGCGTGAGCACACCCAGCTTGCCCGCATCTGGTTCGCCAGAATCCCACTGCACACCTCCCACTATAGCGGTTCGTAAAGAAGCGTTAAGAGGAGGCTGTGCACTGGGCATTGGCATGCACAACACACACAAACAGCGGTTCTTTGTTTGTGCTGTGCAGCGGGCGCCGGATTGTGAACGCATCCGCAAGCAGCAGCTCGTAAGTGGGATGACATGCTCGTGGTCATGCTGCTGTTTTAGCTTTCCTGACGGTGCGCCTAGCTGATTGACTGACTTTGCCGCGCTGTGCGGATGGTCGCTGAGCCGTCTCTGGAGCTACGACAAGGTGGTTGCGACTGAGATCGGTGTTTAGCCTTGATAGCCTGGATGCCACCGAGGCCGTCCCGGCACATGCTCTTGTGCAGTGCGTAGCATTGCGAATGATCACGTCGATTCAATCGCAGCCGCCGCGAGCGCTGGCGTAGCGCTCAAGTCGCGCATCCCGTGAGACGACGTAGTGGTGTTACATCTGTCGCCGATCATCCACGCACCTCATCGTCGTCCTTTGACACAGCACCCCGACGTGGGATCTTGACAGAGCATGCGCGTCCAAAAGGTTAATCACGGTTTTGCTGGGATATAGCCTATCCCTGTCTACCGATCAAAGGAAACTTGGACGGTCAGCGAAAATCTCTGCTCGCAGGCGCTCCACGCTTCGCATGCAGGGCGTGGGCGAGGCGGGAAACCCTGAAAATTCGTTGGATTGGCGGGGACGCGGATTGGTGGAGAGGGATAATAGCGAACCTTGCGGCCGTGCGGCACGCCCTGATGCGACTCAAGGACGTCACTCGACGATGCTTGTGGGGTCCGTTGGGATGCCTCAATTGACAATGAGAGTTGACGATGAGAAGCACATGGAGACGCAGAATTGTTTTACTTTCTTATTTCATTGTGGGCCAGACGTCAGAACGCCAAAGGCTCCGTCTATACTTTTGCGAAACCCCCATGGGCAAACCGCCCAAGCATTGAAATCACCACCCAAATCCATCCCATTGTATATACGTATGCTTGCTCGTTCAACACTCAAATGCAACAAACAGTGATGGCGGCGATCTATGCAAGAACGGCCTCAAACGCACATCAAGTGAATGGTTCGGGCCAGGTCATAAAATATACACAGGCGACCGATAGTCAAAAGGGTAGTCGTGAAGACTAAAAGAAGATATGAATAGAGATCGCCTAGGCGTTGGTATCATTGCGCACCAGCAGCGTCATCAATCATGGCGTCATCAAAAGCGACAGTAGCTGCAAGAGCTGGCTGCCCCTTCGCAGGCGTCTAAAACCAACCGTTGTTGGTATAAGATAGATCAAAATTGTTCATCGCGTTGAAAGCACCATTGGTCTGATCTATAGGCCATGGGTCCATGGGAACAATATCTTCGAAATTGCTAGGCATCGAGAGTGCGGCTGTGTCGGCAAAGTCAGGCGAGGCGGTACTCGTCATAGTTGCTGGCGCAGCAGTCATGCTCTTGGCGTAGATAGGATCGAAGCCGAGCATGTTCGGCATGGGTGCCGTAGTGGCCATTGGCATGGGCGCGTTGACGGATTCACTCGGTACGGCAGTGCTAAAGCGATACGCAGGGGTATCTTCCCAGAAGAGCGACTCGCTGGCAGCCGACTGAGGGGCTTTGAAGTCCAAGTCCCCGAAGAGGGCTGGCTCTCCAATTTCCGAGTGCGCAGACGACGCTACAGTAAGGCCGGGACCGCTCAGTTTGGACTCTCCGCTGTGTGAGATCGGCTGCGCCAAGTCGTCGTTGAACTTGCTAGGGTCCAGCGGGAGATCAGTAGCAGACCAGACGTGGTCGAAACCAGCAGATGCTGTCAACCAGTCGCTATCCATATTTGGGAGGCAATCTTGCGATGGTGAAGTGGACAGGCTGCCCAGACCGAACGTACTGTTCACGGGTGTTACACTGTTGGCTATCCATGGCCACTGATTCGAGAACGTGTCGCTGACGTTGCTGTTGGGAGACTCGCCGTCTTGTTGAAAGACGCCGGGCTGACTGCTGAACATTTCGTTGAAACCAAATGTGTCGAGGCTACCGCCGACGTTGGGAGTCGGCGACTTGTCGGCACAGCGCTGTGTAGAGCCAAACATGGTGTGGAAGTCGTTGTTCGATAACGAAAGCGTGTCCATGGAGCGTGTGGCGGGCGGTTCTGGCTTGCTGCGAGTGCTCTTCTCTTGCGACAGCGCAGAAAAGGCGGCATGGCCGTGTAGCGTATGCGGACGAGGAATTTTGTACGGCAGGCCAGAGACGTGGGCCGAGTTGTTGTTACGATGACAAGGCTTGTGGTGGCCGTTGGCGAAGACTGTCAAGTGACTCTCTGAGTGCGTCGCAGTCAACTTGGGTTTCGCGCGAGCATCGTGAAGCGTCTGCCGGGTAGTGTCGATCTTGAGATCGACCTCTTCCTTCTTGGTGCCACACAAGCACTTGCCGCCGGAATGGCACTGACAGCGGCTGTCATGAGCTAGAGTTACGTCAGAAATGTCGGGGACGGCCAAGCCAGCTGTGAGCTCACTCTTCGCGTCGCCTTTGTCTTTGTGCAAGTCCTTGTCCTTCTTGTCGCCACAATCACACTTGGCGTGATGAGACTTGGACTTGCGCGCACCGCGACAGTGCTCGCATTGCTTGACAGGACGACCCTTGGGGTTGATGTGGTGGAGATCCCGATCTTCAAGACGAAATTAGCACTGAGAGTTGTGAAGCGTCGCACTGAGCGACATACCAGTGTGGTTGCAACCGCTCACGCGGTGGCCCTTGATGCAGGACGAGCAAGCCCATTTCTCACCATCGATAACAGGCATACCGGGGTGATAACGGCCGAGTGCGGTCGTCGCAGCTGGCTACGAGCAGCTGGGTAGGAGCGGTCCAGGGGGCCAACGGGCTAGAGAAGGCGAAAAATGACGAAAATAATGCCACACGCGCGGTGTGAGCGGATAGGTAAAGATACAGGTAAGAATAGTAGGGTTCAAGAGAAGCTAGTTCAAACGCCAGAGGGTATCTTGAGCAATGGTATGGTATGCTGACTTGTAACCGTGAACGCCGGGGAAGAGACCGAGGACGACAGGATGGAGTGGAGAGTGGAGTGGGAGATCAAAGGGGAACCGAGCGCAAGAGGCGCTGGCCGAAAGCGTTAGACGGAGCTCCTTGGGAACGACCAGACCAGTATACTATGTGGTGTTGTGCGGGTGAGGTAGTGATGAGAGGGAAGAGAGCGAGCGGGAGGAACAGGTTAAGAGGAACGCACACGGCCCTGCGCGGCGTGTAATTGGCTGTGGAGCTTAGCGTCATCGGCAAGTGCGCTCAGGCCTCGACGCTCGAAGCAAGCGCGATCAGCCATCATGACGGGGGCTCCTTTGGGCTAGCGCGGGAATCCCACACTTGCATGCAAGTGCAAGCGCAGGTGCAGGTGCGAGCCAGCAGCACCTTCTCACCGCATGAATCCTGCCATCCGCCAGCCCGCCGCCGTCATGGGCTTGATGACCCGCACGCCTTTTGCGCGATCCACATCGGCACGCCTACGACGCCTGCGACGGAGCCTGCTCCTGTGCTGCGCTGGCCTCGCCAGCCCGCCTCTAATCATGCGGGACTCCACGCACGGCATGTTTCATTGCGGACGCGATTCGCTTGTCGAGTCAGCATGTTTCCCTTACCGCGACGGCCGTAACTCAAAGCATCCGTCGCCCGTTGCCAAGTGGAGATCATCACTATTGTCTGCGCCGATAGCGTCCAGCACATATAGAACCGGAAGCAAGCCTATCCATTACTTTCAGGTACAGTGCCCGCTTGTATATCTCACATGAATCCTCCGGCCCAGGGAGCGCTAGCCCGTCGACACGAATTTGATCTTTTGTGGGACAAAAGCGCAGAACGAAATTTAGATCGAACAGAGCGTCTAGCCCTTGGGACCACTGGGCATAGCGTTGGCATAATGTTTTTGAAACGGGACCCCATGGTCTTCTCCGTGGGGTATACTCTGTCGGTGTATTGCACCGCTCTTATACGGAAGATCCTGGTGATCTAACGCTTGTTGCTGCAGCCAGCCGTCAAGTCGTTGATCGTCTCGTGGGAACTCTGGTACCGCTAATCTACGAGAGCCGGAGTAATTACAGCATCTGACATTGAACGACTTCGGATTCGGTATGCACTGGCCTTGTACATAATCGTGACCCGTGAACAGGACTACGTATATCACATGATACGGTAATTCTCCAGACTGCGTACCCACCAATGGCTTGAAATTGTTGAACGTCTTGACCAATGTGTCCAAGTGCACCGGAGACTTTTCATGGCGAGCTCATTGTAGTGTGTGATGACCCAAGTAAGTCGGTACTAAAACCATCATCTGAACACCTATGGATCAGCGCATGATAGCCAGGATGAGGTCAACGTCGCGCAGCAACAGTACAGAGGCAGCTGAAAAATATGGCTAACCCAGCAGTCTCTTGACGTCCATAACAATGACCGTCGTCGGTTGCAGCGTGCGGGCGTTTCTGATGATGGCTGTGCATGGTGCTCCCACTGGCCGTCCCGGAGCGCGTACGGTGAAAAGATAATCCAACAGCGACGTCGTCACCGACCAGTTAGTAGCTTCCGATCCACGCTGCGAGCAGATAACATCTCCCATGTCTTAGGAAAACGACAACCACCATAATGTTGTTGTCACTTTCCCATTCATCCAAGGCCATGAGGACCTGTTCTCTCTTGCCATGGTTCACGCTAGCGCAAAAATCGCAAAGCTCGCACAACTCTCCTCGGCGGCCTCTTACACAACACGCTCCCCTCGCTCTACAACGCCAGAACCTCGCGCGCGATCGCGCAACAATACCGGACCGGTGCTCTGGATAACTCCCAACGACATTTCTACTCGCAATCTCGAATACGACGCGCTGAAAAATGGCTGGCTACGGGGACTCGGATACGCAAATGGGCGGAGGGCCAGGCCAATACGCAAACCAGAATGGCACACCACCGGCGCAGCAACACCAGTTGACTGATCCCGAATTGCGCCTACAGGAAAATCTACAGCAGCTGCGCGACGGTGGAGACATGATGCACCCAGTCGGCCCCCAACAGCCCCAGTACCAGCAGATGGCTCACATGGGGCCTGCCATGGGCGCGCATCAGCATTTTGCCGGTCCAACGCGCCCAACGCATTCTCCACAACAAATGGCGCAACATGTCATGAATATGGACGGACACCACGACCCGTACGATCCCAACGACCCGAATCGCAAACGCTCCAAAGTCTCGCGCGCCTGCGACGAATGCCGAAGGAAGAAGGTATGCGACGCCTCGCTTCCTGCATGACATGCGCTTACGCTGGGTAGATACGATGCGACGCGACTAGCGAGAACGGCCCAGAAGCTTGCTCGAGCTGCAAACGGACCGGGGCGCGCTGTCAGTTCAGCCGTCAACCCATGAAGCGTGGTCCCAGCAAAGGGTATGTCGATTGTGTGCAGTTTGGCGAGCCTGCTAACACTTATCAGTTATATCAAAGAACTCGCAGACCGGCTTAATTCGCTCGAAAGCCAGATTCACCATCCTCCGACCCAGTCGCATAACTTCGATTTCGGAACACTGGGTGACCAGCCGTTTCCTGATACTCAGAGTCCACCGCAGTTCAAGCGACAGCGCACTCACTCCATGACAGATGGGTTTCACGAGGCATTCAGCCGGCCCAACTGGTCCGGACAGGATCGTGGTGCTGGTGGAAACGTAGATGCACATGGTCTGCCTGTGCTGGGCGATCAAGACTCGTCGCTCAATGGCAACCGTCGTACCTCTTTTGGAGACATGAATTTGGGCGGCAGTCTTATCACAGGCTCTCATGAAGAGATTCTCAAAGCGTACGTATACCCGCACATATGAGTTTTGCCAGACACTAAAACATGATTCAGGTATTACAACATCATCCACCCCACGCTGCCTGTCCTGCCACATCACGAGTCACAACTGAACCGCCTTACAAACTGTCCGTCCAAGCTGCGAGAGACGTTCTTTCTCGTACTAGAAGGCTGCATTCGATCCATCGCCTCAAAGGCTCTGCCACCCATCGAGATCAGCCTTAACCAGCTGTTACAACAGTGCTTTACTTCAGTCGATGCGGCCAACTATTGTCTTCACGATACGGATAGCTCACGACGGCTTTACAACCACTTGGTGTACTGTCAGTCACTGATACTGCTCGCTGCAGCATCTGACAGACCTGGCCCTGGTATCATAGGCAGTACTACTGGACTATTGGCTCGGATATCAGCCTGTATCGCTGATGCAGGCATCAACGATTCCAGGACATTGACCACGCTGAAAGAACAAGATCTCGAAGTTTATCAGACAGCACGTCGTGTGTACTGGACTGCGCTGATCATAGATCGCTTCCACGCGTCCAGTCAATCGACCGATATGATGATTCGACGGTACTCTGGAACACTTTCGCGAGACGATTTCTCAGCCCTGGGTGAAGTCGCTTATTATCTCGCCCGTAAGTGCAAGCTCTTTTAAATGATGACCACCCGAAATTAATCTTCATCAGGTGTTGCCCTACTCGTTGGCCGCATAGCCTACGTAAACCGCGCAGGGAGCATACCAAACGTCGATCCCGCAGCTCCCTTTGCCTTTTCTGCGCTCAAACCCGGAACCACGGAGTCCGAGTACCTCAACGGAGCTCTAGATGAAATCAAGCAGTCCATCGATCTAACTACCCTGACGAGTAACTCTCCTCCACACTTGGCGCACCAGTATCTCAGAGTGTTCATCGCGCGACTTTCAGGGCAGATTTCCCCTTCTGCCGAGATTCTCGAGGTCACCAAAGACCTGCTCAGCAACCTCATGAGCGGCGCGATCACTCCCTTGCACCACATCTTCGCTGCTCTGGTCGCTACTTCCCTTACTGAACTGAACGATCGAGGCGAGATGAAAGCAGAAGCAAGCGCAATCATCAAGGAAATGAGCGACGCGCTATCAAACGGCCAGATCATACACCGCAGCTCCGATGGTCTAGGTTGGGAAACAGCAATTGGCGATCTACTCCACAAGAAGAAGTCTTCCACACCGCCCTACACTGGTCCCGAACAAGCTAGCCCCGCGTTAGAACCCAACATGGCCGGCCTGCAACATCTTGCTGCAGCCGCAGTAGGAGAACGGGAAGGAACAGGGGATAATAACAACCGTCCTGGAAGTTCTTCGCAGCAGAAGGTTGATAATGATCTTTCTGCTGCTATGGCGGCGGCGAATGAGGCTGCTAAGGCGCAGGCGACTGCTGTTGCGGCTCAGGATCTGTTTCATTAGATTAAGCGGGTGTGGATGTGCGTGAGCGATGCTTGTCTTCTTTCTTGTAATAGATATACCCCCTTTTAGCTTTGAGCTGGTATGATGGTCTGAATTGTAGGCTTGTATCATTTTGTAATTCGATTCGTTGTCTACTTGCTCTGTTGAATGTTCAAGCATCATGAGATAACAATGGGGCTACAAGCCGGAAGTGCGTTCTTCGCACCGAATTGCGAATGTAATGGTTTAATTGGCAAAAACGATAGACGTCTGTAAGCTTCTCTCCCTCTACCGCGAATTAGAACGACTTTCTATCAGGGCTAAGAGGATCAGAACAACAGCGGTGGTGCATACCAATATGTTGAACTTTGATATCTACAGAACAAGCAAGATGTCTTCCTCCTCTAACCTGTCCATCAGATCATCATCACACCCAGGCACTTCCTTGCAGATCACCATCCTAGGATCTGCCAATCCGGCTATCGCAACTGCCCACCCAAGTTGACCACGGCAATTGAAGACCCCACAAGCATTTTCCACAACGATACCACTGGAGCCCAGAATGTCCATCTGGTTGATACTCTTAAACATTAATGGTTCTTCTGCCGAGTGCGAAGTTCTGAACCCCGGCTTCCAATTATCGGATATCCGCTTCAGACTGTTGCCGAACACCATCCCTGGACTGATTTCAAATGCAAGATTACCCACATACCATGCACAGAAGAGCCCACGCGATGGATTCGTTATCACAGGCTCGAATGTAATGACCAAGTCAGGAAGCATAGGGCCATATGAGTCGTAGCTGATCCCGTTCGTCGCTGCGCTGTTGATGGGGGTACGCTTCGCGTCTCGAGAGAACGAAATTGGAAATGTTGAACTCGCAAGCGAAACGATATGCGTAGGATCTCTCCCTGCTGATGGCGGGTCCGATTTAAGGAAGCCGCTTTTTGGATCGCGTGGGAGCATTGGAACTGCACCGTAGCAGATCCGAAAGAGTTTGCCAGAAATACCAGACTGGAAAAAGGAAAGGGGGTCACGCAGCATCTCCAGAATCACTGTACACTCTGGTGCCTTGATCCCCATTACACTATCGTCCACCACCGTATAACCTTGTGTCTTGAGGCTAGCGCCACCCCAGATTGTTGCAGCAGCCCACAAGAGCCGTTGGTGGCTCACGCCTTCTTGGGTGAAAGCTTGGAGCAGCAGTTGGTGGATCCCACCCGAGGGTCTAAGAGTAGACAGATTGAATGCAAATCGCGACGACTTATTTGATGTGCTTTGCGAAAACTCCGTTGTGGATTCCAGGCTCTTGACTGCCAAAGCGACGGCTACAATCATCATCGCCGCTATCCATTCTTCGTCCTGGTCGTCATCTTGCTTGTAGTCTGTATAGCCATATATTTCATGCACGGCCATCGCGAGTGCCGGCGCGATCGACTTCAGTTGATGGTGTTTGTTTAGAAAAGCCTTGATCAAGCCACTCACGGCTGCATCTGTACCCTCTGTGGCTGTTGAGGCTTCCAACAGAAATCGAAGCGGGTAATTCCATCTCGCTGCTTTCTTAACAACCCACCGGTAGTTTTCAGCAATATGACTTCCTTTCTTCCAAAGAGACGCAGCCGCCATGTGCTGCTCCCGATCTGGTAATCGTCCGCCTTTGTAGTTCACTTCGTGAGCTACCAGATTGCTGATCTCTAAGTCGCCTCCGAATACAGTGGTGCCATCTTCCGGGTCACGGTCTTCGGGAGATTGCTGGCTTAAATAAGTCCGGCTCTCGATTGTGCTCGCGAAGCGGAGGATGCCCGCAATCTCAGCAGGCGGCTGACACGCCCAAAGCGTAACGATGAATGTATTCAGAGTGTCCTTGTAGCCAGCGGGAATCCTCTTGCATTTATCCACGCCTGTCATGATGTCCACTACACAGTCGGCTCCATTCGCATTCGCAGCGAGGGCGATGTAGGCCGACGTGATGTCTACGGTGTGATGCACGCGGACCTGGTCTTTGGGTGGTCGGAAATCCTCAAAGTTCTTCGCACTCCATTGGCGTTCCTGCTCTTCGCTCATTGTGGCGCCGCCAAGAATCTCAGACATTGCGTGCAGAATTGCGTTACTCCGTCTCTTCAGGCTGGCACAGTTCGTTAATGGTCCGACTTCCATTGCCAGGGTTGTGAGTAGAGTGCGGAGATCACGGTGCTGATCGCTGTCTGAGTCGCAATCAAGCGTGGCTTGAACAAAGCTTTCCAGCAGTGGCTTAAAGTTGTAAGGGAGATTTGACCTATCCAGATCTCCCCGGTCCACGATACTGCCCATACCACCCAGGATGAGACTCTCCAGCAGCGAGGCAATAACTCGTTTTGATTCTACGGATCTGGCTAGAAGCACAACCAATGTAGCAATACCCTCCAGTCGGCCTAATTTTGTGGTTTGCATCGCTCTGAACCCAGCTATGGTGCGCATCTTTGCGCCGTGTATTGGCGTTGTTCTCTCCAGAACAGCGTTCTGGAGCCAGGTGGGCACGAAGCGGATTCTTACGTGAAATTGCGACTCCAAAATCTGGAAAAGGCGAGCATCGTCGGTTTGAGAGAAGACAGATCCGAGATGCTTAGCAATGAGGAGAGACGAGGCGACTTCATTCACACCAAGTCCTAGTGTGACTAGTTGATTCGCTGATTTATTCAACTGTATTTGAGCAGTCATTTTGTGGGATATGGCCGGGTTGCATTGGTGTACTTCGAGGTTCCTATTGGGCCCAGGTATTTCATTCCGGTGCGCACCTCAGAGTCCTTCCTCATTATATATATAGAGGAGAAAGTACGGCGACATGGCTCACCTCACGTAGCTGCATATTTGTAACAATTGTTTGCCTAAATTCACCTCGCCTACCTGGGTAATTTGAAATTGACCGGAAACGCAGCGCAAGCCTGCAAGCCACCACTAGGTATATGCGTGAAGCGGCCAATCATCAATTCATTGACTGGATGGGTTCAACCTGCAGCAAGGCGTTATCTTCCTCTCTTCACTGTGGTACTTGCTCGAAATGTCGAGATATTAGGTGCAGTAAGTCATCGAGATAATCCCGCTCCGACGACAACTCTTCCAGATGTTGACCAAGGCTGCGGATGTTCAAGCCCCTGGCGCAAGAAGTTCAGATAGCGGAAATCTAAGTAGGATGGCATCTCTCACCTTCTTCTTCTTCTTCTTCTTTACTCTCTGCGGCAGGGTCGTATTCAGAAGTCAACCTCGCGTCCACAACCAGCCAATTAGGGCCACAGACTTCTCACTCGGTTGTTGCGATAGGATCGAGTTTATGCATAGCAAACTACGTTGATGCTGATTCGATGTTTGTGTGCATCCAGCTGTCAGTGTGACTGACCGGAAACATGCATCGTCCTGACAGCCTCCAGGCGTATGGACATACATCATCTTCGTCTTTGGCCTATCATTGGCCTTCGATAAGCGGCAAAAGTATCACCCCCAAGATTCTGGCCAGAGCCTTGAAAGAGAGGCAGTGCTATGGCCAGTCTTTTTATTGGTTCTAGCGTAGTGGTGTCTTGACCCCGCACGTAGAAGATGCATGCTTGAAGCTTGCCTTGCTTATCATATATGCCAGCAGCGTCCTCGGACACGCCATCGTCGTCGCATGCCTCTTGCGGAGTCCTTATAGCTCTGTCTGGCAGTACCTGTTACGGCGTAGGACTCGACGGACGTTCGGATTCGCTAGGGATAGAAGACGAGAGGCCATTACGTGGATGGATTTCACTGACGCTCATGGGGTCAGAACAAGCGGACGACGGCGGACATGTCATACTTGATATGAAGGAACGAAGAAGCACTATCGGTTGCGATACGTTGTGGGATAAGACGACATCGTTGAATCATAGAAGTACTGCGTTGTAGATGGGGGTTTACGAGTTATCAACCCACACTGCGGGCCTCCCGCGAACGGCTCCAGCGCTAGTCAACACAACCGTGCCTAGGCGGTCTGAGACCCAACCTCGGAATGCTCTCCCAACAACAATCACCCCAGGATTCGTCATGATCCCTTTAGTCAGTTACCTAGAGTCTTAATAGCTACATCTTAAACAGACTAGTCTTTATGTTCTAGTCGTGCTGCGGTAGCCTTAAAGACTAAACATCTATTATTAGCACTGTTAGAATCACATTCACTCTTGCCAGTATTGTCTGTATCGTCAAAACTTTATGTATTACGAATCCTTAGCCCATCCCCAGCAGACCTTTAAGCCTAGCTAACTTCCCCATAATAATACCCTTTAACCCTCCAGCACCCATAGTAGGCACCTCATCAACACCCACAAAGCGCCTCACGAGCAGATTAAAGATATTGCCAAAACCCAACGCCATAACCGTACTCGTCAGAATAATAACATTATACGGCATGCTGAAGTCCGGCGTTGGTAGAGGAAGAAGCAGCGAAGTAGTGCGGACGTAGATACCCTTATTATCTCCCGACTGTTGAGACAGGACGCGGATAACGGCAGGTGCGACATCGAAGCCTCGATTCGCATCTGGTGGGTACTCAGTGTAGCGCAGGATCGCTTTCTCGAAATCGTAAGTGAGGGTGAGGGTGGAGCTGGGTGGGATGACCATGCGTAGCTCGAGGTGGGTACCGCGCTTGCGGTCGACGGCTGGTCGGTAGTAGGTCTCTTTGATGGGACTTTCGTCTGTGGTATCGACGCGGGCTTGGAGAGTGTGAAGGTATGGCTTCATGAACCAGGGCAGAGACTCTAGGTATACTATCTCGACTGCGTTGGTGGTAGACGGGTTCTTGATGACGGACTGTGTACTGCCTCGTTCCTGGCCGTGACCGTTGATGGATCTTGCTGCGAAGACTAGAGGATCGGGACGGACAAGACCGGTTTTCATTTTCTGCTCCGGTAGGACGAGGTCGAAGTCTTCGCCGACTGGGAGCTTGTAGCATCGGAGGGTGTCTGATGCCAGTCTCGATTCGGTGAATTCTCCTGTTGTCTTGACCTCAAGTTCGCGCTCCGGCGGCAAGTTGATGCAGACGTTGTTCGCTTCTCCCTCAGCCTGATCTGCCAGCGGACAGGCTCCCCTGAGCGGTCTTCCAAAGACCTCCTCCAGTGTCCAGGCGGGCTCGGTGCCCTTGTTCAGGGGATAGCAGGTATCGTGCCCGTTATATGGCTTGGAGGTATCGCATTCCATCTGGTTGATTGGTAGAGGTCGCGGGATAGGGTTGTCTCTGGGTCGCTTGGCTCGCGCAATGTCCAAGACCATGTCTACGCTTTGCTCCATCTCTATTGAGCAGCTTGAGCTACCCTCTTCGCACGTCGGGCGTACATCAATGGCCATGGTTTGGAATGAAGCGTCGAATAACTTGTGTCCGTCCAGCAGGCTGGATACACCAGCCTTACCCTTACAGGGTAGTAGCTTGAGAAAAGGTGTAAGGTTCTCCGTGCAGACGACTTCGTGGGGTAGCGTGCCGTGGAGGAGGTGAAGGTTGGACGAGTTACGGTGCTGGCCTTCTGGGTCAAATGACATGACGGGCCGTATGGTCTTGGTGGCATCGATGAAGTTGATCGAGGCACAAAAGAGGCCCGACAAGGCGTTGGTAAGCTTCAGCCATCGTGCAAATGCTCTGTTACAATTAGTAGGGTTCCTCGTCCAATACAAGAAATTCATACTCTTCTTCTGTATCAGCCTCTACCCAGGCCCACAGTTCAACGCCAGTTCCTCCTTCTCTTGCGCCGTTCCATGGCCGCTGTCCCCAGTTCTCCGCATCCCATCTTCCAACACTGAACCTCAAATGTAGTTCCCTCGTATGCGCATGTTGCAGAATCTGTCCAAAAGATCGCGGGAAGTATCGGAAGTTTTGTTGTTCGAATGCAGTGGCGCTTTCGTTGCTCCGGAAATTGAAAGAGGCCAGAAGGGTGTTCTGGGGAAGGGGTCGCAGGAGGAGGCGCTCGCTGTAGTCGGCGCCCGCGGAGACAAGGGCTATCAAGGCATTGAGCAACACAAAGTAAAAAGACGAGAGCATCGCAGCATCGTAGCGCTCTCTACGCGAAATGTGAGCGGGAAGACTGACGATAGCTGCTTGGTGTTGGTGTTGCGGCGGACATGTGGAGTGAAGGCGCCCCACCGGTGATTGGTCACCCGGCGTGGATACTTGGCACTGCCGCGGTCGCGATTTCTTTTGGCTATCACTCACCTCGCAGCTCTCCACATCACGACCCAACCGCCCGAATCTAACATATACACATCATGGCCGCCGCAGAGACGCGCAGGCTGCTTGGTAGGCTCCCCCAAATCACTGTGACTAACACAGCTCCATGCTAACGCGACACAGAGCAGCTTATGGGCGAACAGCTCATGAGCGGAACCGACCAGCGCGCGCCCCAGCTAAACATCAACGACACCAAGGTCTGTCGCTCTTACCTCGTAGGCAACTGCCCCCACGACCTCTTCACCAACACCAAGAACGAACTCGGTCCCTGTTCCAAGGTGCACAACGAGGCGCTCCGGACCGAGTACCAAGAGGCAGACGCGGAACAGAAGCGCAAGTGGGGATTCGAGTTTGACTACATGCGCGACATGCAGCACCACATTGACAGCTGTAACCGCAAGATAGACACTGCGCAGCGCCGCCTGGAGAAGACGCCTGAAGAGATCAGGCAGACCAACGCTCTTGTAAGTATCCCGGCCAGGGGACCTGCACTATCTGCTCACGCTCGACAGCTCAAAGCGATTAACGAACTGACCAAATCGATCGACGCCGGTATGCTCGAGATCCAGATCATGGGCGAGGAAGGCATGGTCAACATGGCCGTTCAAGAGTTCACCAAGGTCCGTTACAAGAAGGCTGAGAAAGAGGAGCGAGAGAGGGAGCTGCGTGCTCTGTCAGACACCGGAGGTCCTTCTGGACACCAGAAGCTTCAAGTCTGCGACGTATGTGGTGCGTATCTCAGCCGTCTTGACAATGATCGGCGTCTAGCAGACCACTTCTACGGAAAGATGCATCTCGGCTATGCTCAAATGCGCAAGTCTTACGAAGCCCTGACCAAGGAGCTCAAGGATCGCGCCCCGCCCCGCAATTCCTACGCTCCCTCCGGCGGCGACATGGACCGAGGCGGCGGTGGAGGTTGGGGAGGAGGTGGTGGATACGGCGGCGGTGGCTTCCGTGGTGGACGAGGAGGTCGTCGCGGAGGCAGAAGGGGCGGTTGGTAATTATCCCCGGAATTTGGCGTTAAGGTGTGTCTATGCGATTCCCAAAAGGTTCGGCTTACAGCAGTATTGATGCGAATACTACCGCGACTCGGCGGTACTTGTACAACAAATGGCGACTATGGAGGCCCTTTCCCCGGCGTATGAGCTTGAGACAGTCCAATCAGAACATGTACGCTTTTCTCCAACATGCACCTGACATGCATCTAACCAACGTCAAGGAATCTGTGCGATCGCTGGGCTAATTAGAGGAGATTGGGCCTGTCCACTTGCTACATACCGTCCTAGGTGAGTTGCACTTTTTTGCGGTATGTTTCTGCAATGTGACTCGTAACTCTGGCTTTGGTCATGACACGCTTGATATGAAATGCTCATTGACTCCGAAAATCCACACCGCAAGTCTGTCCTTGCGGCATATAACCATTACGAGGTAAGTGGTAGAAGCATCGGAAATGCACCCTTTGCTGTATCATCAGCCGCAATTTTCGGCATGGGATGTGCGCAAATCTCAACGTATCTCTGAAGGCTCGTTGCCATGACCTTATCCAGCTCGGCCTGTTTGCATACATACGGCTCGGTCAGCTCTTTATCATTGAGTATGCCAAATTAGGTCTCTAATCTATCCACGATACATAAGCAGACCATTGGACAAGACACGAGATGTATATGTACACCAATGCATTCCTCTAGAATTCTATATACAGTCCAAGGGGGTATTCGCTAGCCACTGTGGCTTAATGGGTATCGTTAATCGCGGACATTCGACCGCTCTTCCGCGCTCTTACCAGAGCACACTCCCGCACCAGAAAACCGTAACACACGCGCTGTCCAACATATCGTCCCTGTATACTTCATCTAAGCGCCGTAGTTCCTGAAGTTCTCGCAAGGCAAATAGTTGTTCTCGATGAACGCCGAACTAAACCTGATTCCATACGCGCACTCAAACTCCTGCTCGCTTTCCAGCGGGAAACCGCTGACTTTGACGGTGCCCTTAACAGTCTCGATTTTGTTGGGACTTGTTGTCAAGCTCGTGTTGAAGAGACGGATCATGTTATCGCATTGCTTGCCGTCCCCGAACATGACTTGGTTGGTGATGTTCATGAAGAAGCCCAGCGGGTACTTCTCCTCCGACGTGAGTGAAAGCCGTGTGCTAATTGATGCGGCGCCAGCCTCTGCACTCGTCGCCTCGAAAGACGTAGTTCGCGGTTCCTTAGCGTCGGGTACCGCGCTGTATGCGTCACAAGCAGGCTCGAACAACGACGGATATGTCTTGATCCCGTAATCCGCAGCGCCTCCAATAGCGATGACGTTTTCGGCCGACATGAGAAGCGATGGCGTCCACTTGAAGGACGTGGCATTGTCGCCGAGGAGATCGAGGAATGGGAATTCGATGCCACCACGCTAGTTTAAAGTTAGCACTATTACCACAGACACGATCTAAACTTAGGCGCGTTATCGTACCGAGAAGTCGGGTATTTGGAAGCCGAAAGCTTGTACGCCGTGGTCGTGGACTGCCTGGAGAAGGGCTGGGTACATTCCTTCCGGGAAATCTGGGAGGAGATGGCGGTATGCGTGCTCCAAGATGCGGTATTGCGAAGGGATGAGTTTGCGTGCGAGGTCCAATGAGATTGGTAGGACTGAGATCGTGCCGTTCAAAGTTCCAGTCGCATTCGTTGGGTAAAGTGACGCAATGGGATTTGGCTGGTCAACCGTCTGGCAGACAGCCTGTTCGACAGCCTCTTGGATTTCATGCAGGACCGGCACCTGAGGACTCGCGTTCGTCGTACTCGCATAGCGAATAGCGAGCAGCGAAAGAAAGCTGAGAAGAAAGTACTGCCATTTCGAAATCGGAGCCGCCATCTTTGGTCGTTGTATCGAGAGGAAAGCGAGTACCGGATGGCACAAAAGCGCAAGGTCTAAACAGGTGCTTATCATGGTTGCTGAGATTGACCTCCGGGCCGACTTGACAAACACTAGACGGGAGAGAAGCTGATCATGTGAAGGAAAGGGTTGGTAGTACAGCAAAGGCGCCAGCCCATTTGGCGTAATGAAAGGACTTTTTTCAGCTACATAAAGGTAGTCTATACACACCGGCAACGCATGAATCCGCGCCACTAAAAGGGCGCCGCAAGGGTATCTCGACTGGAACACAGATACCCGCAGCTGAGCGGGACGACTGACGCCGGGTGAATCAGGTACGTACCTGGCCGCAACAATGTCTGCGCGAAAGCGCGGTGCTTTGGGCAGCTCGATGTGTCCAAACGTGATCTAGTGCCATGGAAGCTTCAGTTTCCGAGACGCTGATCTGTCAGGTGGAGGCATGCTGCCGAAGGGCTAGGGTAAGCCCTAGCGCATCGAAATGCTTAGGCCCGACTGCACTTGCTGGTTGAGTGCGCCGCGCGGTGAGTGAGCGTGTATTGTTGCCGTTGGAATTGCGTGTGGTGCAGTGCGTGTGTCAAGGAGACAAAGTCGGAGTTTCATCGGCTTCGAGATGCTTGCGGGGCCGAGGGGCGCACGTGCTTGCTAGGCTGGGTTCCGACTGGCGTGCGCAATGTATTCTCCGGTTCAGATCGCTCTTTCCACCACGCTTCTGGAAATGTCTTCTTCCAAGGTTCTGAAGCACGCGTCGCATATATCGGTACGGCTTATTGCTTGCGTCGCAGATGAAGTAGTCGCGATGCTTCCTCTTTGATAGAGTAGCAACTTATGATATGCGCGAAGACTGTTCGCCAAACATCTTCCAGTCGTACATTATCCGTATTCATCATTACTCTATACGGAACCTAAAATCCATGGAATCCTTGCGCTACATACGGTAGTGTCGTGGCGTTGGCTATAGCCTGTGAAACAGCTGGTGACAAAGTTACAATAACAATCCTCCGGTGCTAAAGAATCCCATAATCCGGATCCACGGTCGACCTCAATTACACTAAGGTAGCGTGCTAATCATTTCAAATTCAACCAGTTAGATCAAGATGACAGACCTAAGCAACATTCAGATGTTGATTACTACAAGATTATACCGGCTATCGCCCAAAAACCAATGGGTATACAACGGATATCACGCACTTCCGTGTCGACCCCGCAAATACTGCTCTACCGTTTCATCGTCCATGTTATCGATCTCAGCCGCCATCGACTTGCTTGCTGGCGGCGGCGAACCACCGCTGCTTGAAGCCCCAGAGTCGGACGAAGAGGATGACGAGTTGCCGAAGCCCAACGCTGCATAGACCGCCACCACAGAGTTCGCAAGGTTTGTCGCAGCGGTCGTTGCTTGACCGATGTAACTCTGGTCTTCTTGCGCGCCGCCATCGACTCTAGCCCCTGTTCCAGCCGCTGAACCTTCTCGATGAGTAGGGTTTTCAGAGGATGGAGTATCATCGTTTTGTACAGTCCGAGGTGCAGGTTGCGAAGCTCGTCTCTCAGCCTCCTCAGCGGCGCATACCTTCGTCAACTCGTCATGATCCGTCCGAGGTGGAGGTTGTGAAGCCCGCCTTTCAGCATCCTCAGCAGCGCAGACCTTTGCTAGCTCATCATGACCGGTCCCCTCTCGTCTGGGCTGCTTATCCGCAGTCACGGCAGGCGGCGCACTTTCCCTCCTCTTCTCCTTCTCTAATGTATCTTCCAGTTCCTTGCCGAACAGCAATTTGAAGAAGACCACTAGAAGCACCTCCTCCGTTTTCCGATTCCGAAGTACATATCTCAGGTGATGCGTCTTTTCATCCACATACTTGGCCACACTGATTGAGAATCCGGGCAGCCTCAAGGAGAAATTCGCAAAGTCGAGGTGTGGATTAAAGAAGTCGGCATGGTACATGCGGCCCTTTTCGAAAGTAAACGCTGAAAGTGCTTGTTTGTCGAGGTAATGCTTCCGCCGCTTCTTCCATTTTGATGGCATAGACGATGCTTTGCGCACCTCTTTGCCGCTTCCCGATGCACCTTCTTCGATCACACTGTCACTTTCTTGACTGAGACTTGCGAGTTGATCTTGTGTTGATACATCGCTCGTCCTATCTCCGATACGAAATGCAAAGAAACTTGATAGTGCGGGTCCGTAGAGATACGGCTGGTCGGAGTATGCATCTGAGTACAGTCCTGGGTCGAGCATGCTCGTGGCGATCTTCATCGCATACCTGAAACCTGGCGGGAGCTGATGTTTGATTGAATGACCGTAGTCGAAGCCCATGACAAGGTCGGAGCCGGACATGTCCTGTTTGGGAACGAATGAGTAGGCGATGGAGTATCTATCAGAGGTATGTTGTGGGTGATCAAAGTAAGACGATGAAGCTGGTGATCCACGAGGTAGGCCGTGGTAGTCTTTGATTCGGACGCGGATCCATGCTTCTACTAGGTCGCTCTCGACGTGTGTGGGTTCTGCGCCATTGACTGATACTTGTTCGTGTTCTGAGGCATCGTAGGATGGTCCGGCGGTGACTAAAACTTATCAGCATTTTGCAAGATAACTTCAATCGATTGTAGCATACCTTGCAGCAGATACTTGTCGCGTGCCTCAGGGTCCACAACGTTGCCCGACATGTTGGTAAAGGCCGATGACGAACTAGTTCAGTAGCAGTAACTGGTATATCGGGAAAGGAGGCCGAGCAAGTAGATCTGCCAAGTGGAGCAATAGGTAGACTTATGTACCGTTGGATGCATCGTGTATTGAATGATCAGGCATCATCGTAGCTCATACACAAATCAAGCTTGAATATGCGGCCAGCGTTAGTGACGACCAAACGGTTCCACGCGTCCATGACGTTATGATCAGTCATCGTCCAATCAGAAGATGTGGCTGAGAAGCTTGCGTGGCTGCTTCATGCTGCCTCGGGCCTACTCAGCAAGCATCACGAACACCAACGAAGGTCCATGCATCGGGAAGCATTCACGATCAATACTGCCTAGGTACATACAGCTTCAAGCCTGCGCAAGAAGCAACTTGCTCTTCTCTGCCAAGCTCTGCGCCAACTGTGTCATGGGGATGTTCTGCAGAACATCGAACACAGAGCATTCCACCAACATCTCACGCGCGACCCAATTCCTTACCTCAACAGCAACCAGACTATCAACACCATACGCGCTCAGCGGCCTGCCAGCGTCGATATCGGCCTCGGGTATCATCATCAGGCTCGCAAGACGCTGCACTATGGCGGCCGTGATGAGCTGCACGGCCTCTTCGTTCGCTGTGCCGCATCGCGTCAACTCCTCTCGCAATGAGATGGTCTGTCCAGCCTTCGCAGAGGAGCCAGCTGCAACGTTGCGCAGTGCAGAAAATCGCGCGTCGGCCATCCAGTACCAGGCGTCGTCGTGCTCATTGAAGGGCAGACCGCACATAACTTGCCCAGGGTGTTGAGAGGGGCCCTCGATTGCAGTCGCCAGCAAACCATGAAGGTCCGACGTATGCATAACTTTGAGTCCCATCGCCTTGACATGGTCGACATACTCGTCGTGTTCAGCCACAAATCCGACCGACAGCAGATAGCCGATATCGATGGTCATTGCTGGGAGGCCCTGGCTGCGCCGGAATGCAGCGAATTCGTCTTGGAAGTTGTTACCGCACCCGTAATTGCCCTGTCCACGATGGCCCATCACACCGGCTAGCGAAGACAGCATAACGAAGAAGTCCATATCGCGTGGCAGTAGCTCGTGCAGGTTCCAGGTGCCGTGGACCTTGGGACCGACCGTTGTACGCACATGGTCGGCCGTCATCTTGTCGAAGAGGCAGTCTTGTAGAACCATGGCGCCAGTCGCACAGCCTTTGATGGGTGGCAAGCTCTTGGCCCTCAGGTCCTCCAAGACTGCTTGCAGAGCGGTCTTGTTGCCAACGTCGCAATCATATGCCAGCGGCGTAACACTGTACGTCTTCTGCAGTTGCGCAGCGAATGCCTTGTTGTCTGTGCCGCTGGCTGCAGAACGAGAGAGGAACACCAGGTACTTTGCGCCCTTCTCCGCCAGCCAACGCGCAATCTCACGTGTAATACCACCCAGTCCGGCAATCACGTACGTCGCGTGAGGCTGGATTCGCACGCGAGGAATTCGAGGAACGGCGCGAACAATGTCTGCATCGTCAACGCGAACGACCACCTTGCCCATGTGCTTTCCTGCCTGCATGTGTCGGAAGGCTTTCTCGACTTCGGCCATGGTGAAGATCTGGAGTGGCGCAATAGGCTTGATTGCCCCCTCATGGATCATCTTCGCCGTATCGTGCCATAGCGCTACTGCTCGTGGCGTCGGATTGTTCTCAAAGTCAAGCAGATTGACACCGATATAGCTCTTGTTGTCCAACAAAGGCTTCATGTCAAGACCGGTGTTGGCGAAGAGATCCGCCTTTCCTATCTCCAAGAAACGACCGAATTTGGCCAGGCAGTCAGTCCATGATCGACGAAGAGCCTCGCCAGCCAGCGAGTTCAGTACCAGATCTACACCCTTGCCGCCCGTGGCACGGAGTACTCCTTTGACAAAGCTGGTGTCGCGACTGCTGAATATGTGGTCTTCGGGGATTCCATACTGCTCCATGAGAAGCTGTTTCTTCGCGTCCGCGCCGACCGTAGCGAAGATCTCGGCACCTTTGGCTTGCGCGATCATGATGGCAGCTTGTCCAACACCACCAGCAGCGGCATGAACCAAGATCTTCTCGCCAGAGACGATGCCACCTGCAGTTACTAGCGCGTAGTAGGCTGTGAGGAAGATGAGTGGCATTGAGGCGGCTTCTTCGAAGCTCATGCCAGAGGGAACGGGTATGGCACCCTTGGCCGGGAAGCGGACGTAGGTGGCGAAGGTATCGCAAGATGCAGTCATGACTTTATCGCCAACCTTGATGTCTGTGACAGCCGCTCCGACACGAGTGACGATACCCGAGGCATCGACACCCAGCTTGTTCTCAGCCAGGTTACCCAACGCCACGAGTACATCCTTGAAGTTGAGACCAATGGCCTTAACCTCGATCTCAATCCAATCCACAGGCAATGGCGTGTGGTACGTCTCATCTTCTTCCCACTGGAACGTATCGAGAAGACCAGGTGTCTTGATGGTCAGCTTGAGAGGACGTCCACAGCTTTGGAAAGATACCATCTCGGGATCACCCTTGGCCTCATACTTGCGCAGCGAAGCATCGACTTCCATCGTTCGCTCCACGCGGGGTACGTAGACCATGTCACCACGCGCGGCAAACTCACCCTCGGTGCCGTCACCACGGATG